ACTCCTGTGGACAATAAGTGACTCTGGTTAATTTATATGATAATATTAGAATAGAAGGGAGTGGAATCCTCCATGGACGTATAATATAGTACCAATTTTATAAGGACTTAGTCACTGATTATCCTGGATGTAAGAACAAATTAAGGACACTGACAAATCTCTAGGCTTTTAATTTTTCCCTAAAGTATATTCCAGATTTCATTAATTAGCATATTTAAACTTATAGGCAAAAAATTTTTTACAAAAATTATTTGTCCTTGTATATGAATATATATGAAATTTGTATCTAGTTTACCTAGGAAGGCAGTTAATGTAGGTTTTTTTCTCTTTTCCTATCTCAATTTTTCATGTCTTATATTCATTTTAAGAATAATAAAAGCATTTTATAAACATATCTTGTCATCTGGATGACTCCATTTCAGTGCTTAAAATTGTGCTTGTGCCCATGTTGCAGTAGGTAATGTTAATTATCATGGCATATATGTTAAACTCCCAATGAACCTGTGCTGTGGCAGTCATTACATAACCAGTGAGAATTTTCTCCCTATGAATTGTGCCCAGAATTTCTCAGATTTAAAAATCACTGATATTGACATTCTTTTGCATGCATATATACACTTCTTACCAGTGAGTTAGTATGGATTAATACATTTGGAATACAATTTGGAATGTATATGTCCCTTTCCAAATGATTTATGACTACATACTTCACTATAAAGGAGGTAGGCTATGAAGTCTCCAAATTTTATCTAAGTAGTTCATGGTTTACAACAAACTGAGAACCAAGATTTCTCATCCAAAATTGGAAAGCTGAGGAAACCTGGGGAAATACCTTGGGGATGCTTTCATAGAACAAGCATGCCTAGGCCTCCCCATTGCCCCGCACCACACACACACACACACACACACACACACACACACACCCTGATGTAGTAAGTCAGGTAGGCCCCCATATAGGTACTAGTACTTCTATTACACAATATTCATAATTTATTATAACATAATGACTTAGGAAACCAGCTTTACATTAAATAATGATTTGAAACTTGCATGTAAAAAAGCCCAACAAGCCACTTTGCTTGAGCAGCTTAGTGCTTTGCTTATCAATATAGATTTACTTTTTGTAACTAGGATATAAGCTCCATGTGGGCAGGGGATTTTGTTATGGTTGTTCACTGCCGTGTACCCAGTATCTAGAAAGATGCCTGGCAAAATAAAAGAAGTGTAGTAAATATTATTTGTTGTTGAATGAGTGTATATGTAAATAATACTGTGTGATAAAGGTGATAAGAATTTGTTAGAAATGATATGCAGGTTGTGCTGGTAGGGGTAAAAAAAATAACCATTACCTTTAGGCAAAAGTTAATTGAGTAAAATTTTGAATTTTATGGCTCTATACATTTATAGCCATAAAAACAGGACCTTTGAAAATAGTCATGTAAAAAAAGAAGAGTCATGTGATTTGTAGAATATGGCACAAAGTCAGCTTGTTGAGAAGACATGGGGGGCCTAAAACCCATCCAAGACAGGATCTGTGCCTTCAGGGTTGCATCCACCTGAGGGGAGGGAGAACTAGCTTCTCTTTGTTAGACATGTTTGTTCATTAATATTTGATATAATTAGCAGTTAGATTAAGTCTGCCATCTTTTTTTTATTTGTCCCTCCTGTTTTTTGTTCCTTTGTTCCTTCTGTCCTTTTAAATTATTTAAATATCTTTTTAAATTCCATTTTAATTTATCTACAGACTTTTTAGCTATATTTTTTACATTACTTTTTTAGTCATTGCTCTAGGGAACACAATATATATATCCTTAACTTTCCACAAGTTTCTTAGAGTTGATATTACTACCACTTCACAAAAAATTTAGAAACCCTAGAACATGTAGGTCTGTTTTACCTCCTCCTCCTGTATGCTACATATCACATATACCCCATCTACATACACTATAACCCCTCAAGATGTTAATTTTTGCTTTAAGTAGACCAGTGTATTTTTTTTAAAGATGTATTTATTTATTTTGAGAGAGTGAGAATGAGAGAGAGAGAGAGAGAGAGAGAGTACATGAGAGGGGGGAGGGCCAGAGGGAGAAGCAGACTCTTCGCTGAGCTGGGAGCCTGATGTGGGACTCGATCCTGGGACTCCAGGATCATGACCTGAGCCGAAGGCAGTCGCTTAACCAACTGAGCCACCCAGGCACCCTAGACCAATGTATTTTAAGTGAAGGAAAAAGTAGCCTTTTATACTTCCTGAGAAAGTTACCCGTTTCCAGTGTTCTTCATTCCTTTTTCAAGTCTCCATCTGGTATCACTTCCCTACAGCCTGAGAACTCTAGCATTTTTTGTAGTACAGGTCTGCTGGTGATACATTATCTTGTTTGTTTTAATTAGTAAATGTGTTTATTTTCATTCTTAAGATTTATTTTTGCTGGAATTCTGGGTTAGCAGTTTTTTATCTTTCAGCACTTTTAAGATTGTTTGTCTTCTGGTCTCCTTAGCTTCTGATGAGAAGTCAGCAGTAATTTGAACGGTTATTTCCCTGTATGTACAAGGTATTGTTTTTCCCCTTTTGCTGCTCTCAGGATTTTCCCTTTATCTTTGATTTTCAGCAGTTTGACTGTTGACCATTATCTATGACTATGTGCATAGACGTGGTTTTCTTTGTATTTGTCCTACCTAGGATTCCTTGAGCTTCATGAATCTGTAAATTTATGGCTTTTGCCAAATATTAGAGAAATTTAGTTATTTCTTGAAATATTTTTTTTATTGCATTTTTTCTCTCTTCCCTTCTTGGACTTTGATTACACAGATATTAGGTCCTTTGATATTGTCCCACATGTCCCTGATAATTGTTCATTAAATTTTTTTTGTTTCTCTGTTTTTAGATTGGTTAATTTCTTTTGATCTTACTTCACGTTCATTGAGTTTCTTTTATCTCCATTTTGCTTTAAGTCTAACCAGTGAATTTTTCACTTCATATATTTTTCAGTTCTAGAAATTCAATTTGGTTCTGTTTTCTTTTGGTTTCCTTTTGTTTGTTTTTGCTGAACTTTCCTGTTTTTATTCCTTGCAAGCATGTTTTCCTTTACACATTTGAATAAGCTTTAAAAACCTTGTATTGCCAATTCCAACATCTGGGTCATCTCAGTGTTGGTCTCCTTTGATTGTCTTTTTTCTTAAGCTTGGACCACAGTTTCCTGATAAGTTATTTTTAATTGTATCCTGGACATTGTTACTGTTATGTTCTTAAGACTGTAGATTCTGTTACATTTGTCTGAGGAGTGGTGACTTTTTAGGCAATTAACTTGATTAGACTTAAATTGTAAGTTCTCTTAGATGGCTGTTCATATCACAGTTCACTTCTTTGATCCTTAGCAGTACTCTCTTTTGTATGTGTGTTGGTTCAGAAGTGGTCAAGAGATTAGGGCACATGGGGCTCCTCTCCTCTGGCTCTCCCTGCTGGAAGTCCCCTAGAGGCATGTTAGTCTAACTGCAGCTACAAATACAGAAGTGGTAATGTGCTTTACATTGCAATTATCTTTTATAGATTAAGTTTATAAACTCATATATTCATATATTTTGCTTTTAAGAACTTTGATGCCATGTTAACCGCTGTAATAGAAACTTTTCTTGACCTAGTGATTTGTGTACTTCCCTATCTGCATTAAATGATAGTAGCTCTGTGTCACTATTTTATAGTGTCAAGATTATTTGTGTATGTGGTCTAGTGGAAAGAAAATTGGGTATCCTTAGGGTAAGTTTCTGGTAGTATAGCTTAGGACATTGAAATGACTTATCTGGCCTTAAGTATTTTTATCTTTAAAAAGGAATTGAGCTAGGGCGCCTGGGTGGCTCAGTCGGTTAAGCGTCTGCCTTCGGCTCAGGTCATGATCCTGGAGTCCTGGGATCGAGTCCCGCATCGGGCTCCCTGCTCAGCGAGGAGCCTGCTTCTCCCTCTAACCCTACCCCCTCTCATGTACTCTCTCTGTCTCTCATTCTCACTCTCTCAAAATAAATAAATAAATCTTTAAAAAAAAAAAGGAATTGAGCTAGATAATCTATAATTGAATGCCTTTCTGGCATTCAAATATAAAAATTTTCCTAGCTCTAGTCAGTTATTTTGGTACTGGGCACAGTTCTTTCTGTATATTCTCTACCTCTTTTAATTCTCTTATTTTCTTCTATTTCATTTGATTTTTGTGATTTCATTACCTTACACCAAACCATAAACCACTTAGATATGTAATTAGAATTAAATACTCAAATGGTAGTTCTGTGTTGACATAAGTAGCAATTGAGCATTTTTCAAAAATTCCTAAAACGTAATTAACAGGTGTATATTGAAAAAAATTTTATTTTAGCATTTAATGTTGGTGACTAGGTTTATTCTGAGCCAAATAACTTAGTTCTCACACCTGCATATATCTGAAGTCCTGTGCCTTTGACAGATTACGTTAAAATTTAATTATTTTAACACCTTATTTTTTATGCAGAGCGTATTTATTTCTGAGTGATCATTATTATAAGAACATTGGATAATTCATTCTTAGTTTATATAGAAACATGGGATATTTTATGCTCAGTTTATATAGACTATCTTATATAATTATTTCTTCTGTTCACTTGTTTTTTATAATATTACAGTACTGTTTTATGATGTAGGTTTATGTGTCCCTCACTGAAAACAATTTGAATAAAGTTATCTGACATCAGTTATTAAATTAATTTTTGTTCCTCTCAGTCATTAGACTAAAATACCTTATGGTGCTTAATAAGCCCTTATTATTTGCTCTCTTATTCAGAGTCTTTTCTATGAATGTGTTCTTTTTATACATTGTTATGTGGAACTGTTTAAGGAATTTTTGAATTTTTATTTAATTGATTATCTGTGCGTACTGATTAAGAAAAATAAGATGGTCAAATGTTCATTGTGTGTAAATAATAATGTTATTTCACATACATTTTATCAGTGTTAACAAAGCTTTCTTTGGTATATCTTTCAGGTGACATTTGCAGACAGGAAAAGTAAACTGTCAAGGAATTCATACCATTTGGTACCTGTTATTTGGACCAATTTAAGGAGTCTTTAATTTATCAGATCAACTGGCAACAGAAAATGAAAAGTAGTGTGGCACAGATAAAAGTAAGTGTTTGAAATTTATAATGAAGAACATAAACTTGTACCTGTCATTTAATCAAAAAATGCATTTATAGAATTAGGACATTAGAACCAGGCAGTAGAGTGGCATCATACACATATCTAACTTACACAATTTCAAGTGTTGCTACATGATAGATAGAAGCAATAGTGTGCAAGAGGGCAAGTGAGAGAACGTGCAAGATGTATGTATGTGTGTCCAGGTACATGTATACGCATATGTGTATCATTGCCTGCCCAAATCAGGAAAGTGCATGTGAGTGAGCACATGCAAAAGAAGAATAATTAACAGGGCAGGGAATTCCACCATTCTTCTTAAAGAGCATACTTCCCTGAATGCGCGTGAAGTGGAAGACAGGCATCTCTTTCCTCAGGTTTTGTTTTGTTTTGTTTTGTTTTGTTTTGTTTTTTAAAGATTTTATTTTATTTATTTGAGAGAGACAAAGAGAGCACAAGACGGGGTAGGGTCAGAGGGAGAAGCAGACTCCCTGCTGAGCAGGGAGCCCGATGCAGCACTCGATCCCGGGACTCTGGGATCATGACCTGAGCCAAAGGCAGTCTCTTAACCAACTGAGCCACCCAGGCGCCCTATCCTTCCTCAGTTAATCATAGTTCCTGCATGTCTATCTATAAGGGAGCCTTTTATTGCATTTCATGTGCATAAACAAGCTCTTTATTCTGTGCTGTCCTTTAGACATTATACACTCACTTATTCAACAAATATTCACTGAATTCTTAACTATGTCCCAATGACCATTGTAAGCACTTTAGGTAAAATGGTAAACAAAACAGAAATCTGTGGTCTCATGGAGTTTTCATTCTAGTGGCGGAAGACAGAAAATAAATTATAAACTTAATCCATAAGTAAATGGTGTGGCAATAGTGTTCTTAAGAGCTAGACTTGTGCTATAGACAAAAGAAGTAGGGTAAAGTTGATCATTAGCATTGGGGGTTGCAATTTTTGATAGGGAGGGCCCACTGAAAAGGTAGCCATTTGAGCAGAAGCTTGAAGCATATGAGGAAGTTAGCCCTGCAAATACCTGGGAAAAGAGTATGCCAGGCAGATGGAACAGCAAGTATAAAGCAAAGAGTCTAGTGTGGCTGAGGCAGGTTATAAGAAAGGGAGAATAGTAGATGCAGTCAGAGCAGTGATAGGGACCAGTAACTCTGTCGACTCTCAGAACTGTTCCTCTGCTTGTCAGTGGACTTAGCAGGAGAGCAAACCATTCCACTTCTTTTCAACTGCACAGATCTACAAGCAGACATATCACTCCTTGGGGCTTGGAGTAAAGGGGAAGGTGTATTTTTATTTAATTACAGATCTAGGCCCTGCTCCCTTCCTCTCTCCTCCACCAGTTCTGCACCCCTAAACCTCCTTCTTTAAAGAGAACCAGTAGACTGAGCTTAACAGTAGACACCAGGTAGTAGGCCTGGTGCCTGGTAAGTGTTTAATAAACTGAATTGATAGACTTGCAGACTGAGGCAGGCTCTGCTGCCATCTTTTCTAAATTTTGTCGCGTATGATACTATCAAGTATAAGGCTTGGTAGACACCCAGCCCATGCTTCATATCGCTTTTGGTGGGAGTTCGTTGTCTCAAGCTAGACCCAAAGGTCAGTAGATACTTTCATATATTGTTCTGAAATCTGCCTCTTTGGACTTGTACTCATTGGTCCAGTGGCACTTTACGCAGTTAATTAATTGTGGGCCTAGTAGGTGGCCGACTGTGCTAAAAGCTGGGGACATAGAGAGGAGACCTGGTGTGGAACTGGCTCAATTGAGCCATATTAGATGAGAGCACTCAGATTTAGCCGGATACCTTTTACACAGAGGGAGATGTGTTTAGTCTTTTCAGAATCCTTGTCCTGCTCCCCTTACACTGTGCTTCTCCACCTTTACCTCCTGTGGCCCCCATGGGTCCTCAGTGGCACCCTCCCATCCTAGGAGTGGGTATCTTCAGTCAGCATGCCCTCCAAGCTTAGTGGCTCAGCTGTCTCTGCCAGTTCGTAGCCCAGTCTGCCTCCCTTTCTCCATCCTGTTAGCCCCAGGCAAGTCCACTAGCTGGGTGGGGCCCATTTTTCACCTCAGGTGAAGCTGACATCTTCCCCTTGATGTTCTGAGGACTCATCTGCTAGGTTCGGGAGGGTTCAGCTGAGGATCCCTTGTTTTTCCATTGAGCCTTGCTGCAGCTTCCTTAACTATCAGGAACCAAGTTTCCTACTTGTTTCAGCCCTTTCTCTCTTTGCTCTTAAAGACTGGTTCCTGAGCCTAATGGACGCTCAGACTCAGGGTCCCTGCTCCACTTACTATCTCATACTGCTGTCTTTTCATCGTTAGAGATTATAGGTAGGTAACCACATAGTACAAACATTTGTTTTGCTCCATGAACAATTGAGAGAATTTTTTAAAGGTAATTTTGACAATATATTATTTTCAGTGCCTACTCTGATTTATAATCTGGACTCTGTGATAAAGGAAATAGGAAAAATCTGGTTATTATTATTTTTTCTTTTTCTTTAATTTTTTTATTGTTATGTTAATCACCATACATTACATCATTAGTTTTTGATAAGTGATCCATGATTCATTGTTTGCATATAACACCCAGTGCTCCATGCAGTATGTGCCCTCCTTAATACCCATCACCAGGCTAACCCATCCCCCAACCCCCCTCCCCTCTAAAATCCTCAGTTTGTTTCTCAGAGTCCATAGTCTTTCATGGTTCATCTCCCCCTCCAATTACCCCCCTTCATTCTTTCCTTCCTGCTCTCTTCTTTTTTTTTCTTAACATATAATGTATTATTTGTTTCAGAGGTACAGGTGTGATTCATCAGTCTTGCCCAATTCACAGCGCTCACCATAGCACATACCCTCCCCCATGTCCATCACCCAGCCACCCCATCCCTCCCACCCCCCATCACTCCAGCAACCCTCCGTTTAAATTCAGGTTATTATTTGAATCACATCTCAAAATGTTATTTTACTTAGTGAAATCCTGTTCATCTACCAAAGCCTAGTTCAAATCCCCTTCTACCCACCTTCATCCCTCAGTATTCAGTTATTGTTCCCTACTCAAGATGTCCTGTTAACACTTCGGTGTGTGTCAGTCACGTTAACGTCATCATATTTACGAAATCATGATTCATGACTTCAATATTTTTGGTTTCCCCCCTTGCTTACAACAGATGTTGCGAGATGTGTTAAAAATCATTAGCACAGCACTGAGGCCTTCTCCCTAATGTAATCAAAATAATTGCTGTGCGTTGTAAAAGAAAAAGTAGACTGCAGTTTTGTTCTCTTTGTCTCTTCCTCCTCTCCTTCTCCTCATCTTTCTCTTCCTCCTCCTCTTTTTCTTCTTTTATTTTATGTTCTCTCAGGAACTCATAATCTGATATGTTGAACTGTGGAAATCTTGACAGCTCTCTTTCTACTGTAAGATCATAAATTCCTTGAGGGTTTTTACTAACTTTTGTGTCCTCCAGAGTGTCTACACAGGAAGGGCTATGTCTTAAATGATCAGTAAATACTGTGTTTGGTGTTGCCGTGAGTCAAATGAGTCTTGTGCTCCATATTGGTTTGGGATCTTGAAGTCAAGTTTTATAGAAAACTGTGTCGCACATATTGAACAATTTTACCTCATTGTGTTGCTAAGTGAAATAATTTTTAAAACTTTCTTATATACATTAGAAACAAGATTTTAAGACGGTTGCATTCAGTATAAAATAGCAGCCAAACTACGGCTACCATAAATTAACAAATTTTGATCACATGCTTATCCACCTACACCGATTAGTCTAGGTAGTATATACTATTAGAAAAATTCAATAGTTAATGAGACTGTTTGGCAGTTTACTTGTGACAATGTTAGACTCAAACTGCTGTTAATTAGTCATAAAATAAGAGGAAGTTGGACCTTATTTACATTCCTGTGCAATATAATTTTCTATTTTTATTTTTTTATTTTTTTTAAAGATTTTATTTATTTATTTGAGAGAGAGAATGAAATAGAGAGAGAGAGCATGAGAGGGGGGAGGGTCCGAGGGAGAAGCAGACTCCCCGCTCAGCAGGGAGCCCGATGCAGGACTCGATCCCCAGACTCCAGGATCATGACCTGAGCCGAAGGCAGTCGCTTAACAAACTGAGCCACCCAGGCGCCCCTAATTTATTTTTAAATGTTTCTTTTTCCCATTAAGGAGGCAAGCATGTAAATATGCAGAACAAGTTGTTCATTATTTGATTTCCTTTTTCTTAGCTTTTAAGGTAAAGCTGCTTTTTAAAAACATACTATTTTTCCTTTCTTATACTTAGGTTAGTTAAAATTATTTTAATCCTTAAAAAAAAGGCTGGTCAATGTGAATGTTCATCAGTGATATAAAAAATTTACCTATTTACAGAGATAAATATTTTGGCTTTTTAACTGTATTTGGATTTTTAAATTAAGATTTGTTCTCCAACTGAATAGTTCATATCTCTGTCTCTGTGACATTTCTTTTCAGTTTCATGTTACAGTGGAGTTATGTATTTGTATGTCTTGTTATTTTTCAAAGGATTTGGTATAGGAGCTCTCTCTCACGAATCATGTTTTTCAAATCTGTAGAGTCTAACATAGTGCCATACATATCAGACATTCACACAATGTTTCCTGAAAGTGAAAATGAATTTTTATAAATATATTAGAGTCAGTTTCTTCTAGCTGTTTATTTTATCCAGATTTAAAGATGACAGAGAGAGGCACAGTGAGACAGGGAACACAAGCAGGGGGAGTGGCAGAGGGAGAGGGAGAAGCAGGCTTCCTGCGGAGCAGGGAGCCTGATGCAGGGCTCGATCCCAGGACCCTGGGATCCCGACCCGAGCCGAAGGCAGACGCTTAACGACTGAGCCACCTACGCACCCATTTTAGTAACCTGAACTGCAGTGGTTTTTATAAGACCAAGTAGATCCAGGAAGATAAGTGCAGTATTATAAGACTTTGATATAACCACAGGAGTGAACTCTTCTTGCTAGAAGATCTCTGGCCCTTAGTCATGTTTCTCACCAAGAAAAAGCTTTGCTCTTGTTTTTTACCAAGAGAAGGTGTTTATAAAAATGATGTTCTGTATATTTAAAACTTAATACATAGGAATAAAATATCAACTAAGTGGCATCGAAAATTTGAGAATTATTTTCTTCTACCTTGAATTTTTTTTGGTTGAAAAAAGTATGTGGTCCATAGTGAAAACAGATTATCTGCCACAGATATTCACCTTGGAGGGCCTGAAAATTTTGTTTTATCTTATATACTGTTTAGACAACATGAATTATTCTTATGATTAAAAAAAAGTTTTGAAATAATTTGTAAAGCACTTCTAATTTTCTGAGATACATATTTCATTTTCTGTGTGTTTTATCATAATTTTTTAAATAACCCCTTCCCCTCTTTTTTTTTCCCTTTGAAAGCATTCTTCTTCTGGTCATGACAGAAGGGAAAACTATAATTCCTATCAGAGGACCTCCTCTCCAGAAGACAGGTAAATAATTTTATGTGCTTCTAAAATTTAAATTTTTTGTAATAAGTTTTAAAAAATTATTTGCTCTTAGGTTCTTCATTTTAGGATGAACAGTTTCTTTTAGATGGTTTTACAATATTACTTGAATAAGCTTGAGGACAAATTCTTGAATGACTGTTCTAGGAGTTTCTAGTAAATCTAGATTTTATCTAATTTTGGAGGTGAGAATAATTTCAGTATGTCAAATACTACATAAAAGTTTTATAAAATGAAATGAATATTGAATGAAACACTAAATGAAAGTTTATAAAATGGAAAACTGAGTTGAAATCACTTTATTTTGAAGTGCTGCTTTTACTGTTACTACTATCCTTTACATAGCTCTTAGTAGATTTTAGAATACGTTTATATATATGTATCATATCTTATAATTGTGTTAAGATGAAAGATCTAGAAATACTACTGTTAGTGTTCATCAGGCATTCATAGTAGTACTTGTTATTTCACTTAGTGAGCTATGTCCATTAAAAATAATTTATGAAGAGAGAAGCATCCTCTGAACTTCCTTTCAGTGGTCTCATCTGTTCCTTACCCCATATGTACTTTCTTTTTATTTCACTCTGTTGTCTCTAAAATCTTTTGTTTCATGGACATTGAATTAATTGTAATGGTTTGCAACTACTTAGTACCTTTCATCAAAGTAAGCTAGAGAAAAGAAAATGTTACTAATGAAATCATAGGAGAAAAATACATTTATAATAGTGTGCTATATTAGAAAAAATTTGGTAAACCCACACAATTCAAACCCGCAACTGTTCAAAAGGTTAACTGTATGTAAAATATGAATTACTATATATATTACTATGTATATTTATTATGTGTGTATGTATTTAACTTCTCTTAAGGTTCTCTGACTTTATTAATATTTAACGTTCAAATGGCAGATCTTATTACTGTCATCCTTGTTTGCTAGTAATTTCAATCCTTTCTCACGGCTATTCAGTAAAGCAGGTTCAAGAATAATAGCTAATGTTTTTTGGATGTCTCTTGGAATGAGTTAAACTGCTCTTTATGGAGGCCAACCAATGACATTGGTCTCATTTGTTCAATGCTTTAATAAAATGTGCCAACTAGGCAAAAGGAGTCATTTGCAGGGTGGGCTTTTTTCATGCCAACTATATATGATATCCAGATATCTATCTTTTACTTAAGACAGTGTGAATCAGGATGACACGTTTGGTTACGTGAACTCCAGTAGTTGTTTTGTACACAAGCTGAAAGCTTTTATAATCAAGACTAAATAAATGGTGTCAACAAAATAAGCTGTTTGTTAAAAAGTTCAGTAAGACATCGTTCAGTCATAGAGTTGCTTTAGCATTACCGATATATGATTTTCCTAGGTATTTATAACATGTAGTTTTCATCTTATAACTTTGGTTTTCTTATTTAATGTGTTAGATATGCAGAACAAGAAAGATCCCCTCGGGATAGAGATCACTTTGATTACAGCAGGTCAGACTATGAGCATTCAAGAAGAGGGCGTTCTTATGATAGTAGCATGGAGTCACGGTTAGTATTGGAAATTTTAACTATAGAAAAATCATATTTGTTTAAATTTTCTTTATGCTTCATAAAAAAAACAATAGTAATAGCTAGCATTACATGGATGTTCTTAGGTGCCAGGCTTTCTAATAAGGATTTCATGTAATTAACTCCTTATTGCAGTAAATATATGAAGTAGACACTATTGTGTGTTTTATAGATGAAGAAACTGAGGCAAAGAGGATTTAAGTCATGTGTTTGTGTTTTAGAAGCATGTCAGTGGGAGGTCCAGGTCTGTCTGACATTGAGCCTAAGCTCTTATTCATTACATGGTACTGTACTGCATGAAGACTTGGCAGTGGGGGTTTTTGAGATTCCTTACTGAATGAAAGTCGTTTATATTATATGACAGTGATCAAAATATACTTTCCTGCATGATTGCACTGGGACAGTGAGAATGAAGTTACCAGTCTAGTTTTTACCTAATATAAATTATTGTTTCTTGAGCCTTGGAGAATTTGACTACCCACCCTATTAGTCGTCCAGTTTCAAAAACTTGTCTACCGTATTTTATTGTTCACGAAGGTCTGTATCCTTTTGATGTCTCCCTCATATTACCCACTCCGTGACTATCAAGACTATACCCCCACCAAAATTTTGATGACACTCCTGTGCAGTTTGGAGCTAATCACATTATTTGACATCTGCAGCCTAAGTTTCCTTCTCACTACTTAGTTTCTAATATATACCCAAAACTAAAATGTCAGATTAAATTAACTTCCAAAAGCCAGGCTCATCTGCTGTCACCATAATGACCCCTTGGGAGAACCAACTACTGCCACCATAATTGGTGAGCTAAGCATTCTGCACTTTTTCTCAAATACTGTTAAAATTCTTAAAAAGTATTTTTTTCACAATTTGCCAAAAAAAAAAAAAAATGAAGTGGGTTTGAAGTGATTATGTAACTTACCTGAGGTTGCAGTTGCCCATCTGGTAGACAATGAAAATGGGATTTGAACTCAATTTTGACTCCAAAGCCCGTGTTTTCTTCCATAATCTCTGACTGTATTACTCCATTGTAACTGTGTTTGATCCAGTGTGTGTACATAAGTCTCATTTGATCCATACAGTCACACTGTGAAGTATGCAAGCTGTGTATTATGTAGCAAATACAAGCTAACAGTATGAAAGCATTGGAAGAGAAATATTTCTATTTAGACTTGAAGAAGACTCTATTACTTCTACACTCTAAAGGAACAGTGAAATTCTAAAGATGCAATTTTATCAGCCAGCTAGCAGTCTCACCTAGTGTTTCTCAGAAGAATCCTAACCAATGCCAGTAAATCCCTGCTGTAGCTACTCTCTTAGAACATAGTACACTCACAGTAAGAAGCAACTCAGTTGCAAATCACTGCCTAGATTACAGTGCACCTGCCTTTGTGACTAATTGGGGTATCTATTTAGAACCACTTTTTTTCTGTTCACTCTGTCTTTGCATGTACAGTGGTATACTTCAGTTTCAAAACATCTCCTCTGAATCTACCTGGCTAGGTGACCCTCCCTCTTTTTGTAAGTTGTATTACTATAGATTAAGACAGACCATCTCAAATACATCCCCCCTAGATCTAGCTGAAATCTGTCAAGCAGTTTCCTGGTAATCGTGATAAATGACACTTGTTTTTATTTACTATATTCATTTAACTAATGGTTGCAAAAGCATGAGCAGAATGATCTAAATTTCCAAGGTAGTATAGGTAAAAAAACAACTAAGTGGACAGACTCCTCTAAAAAAGCAGAAATTTACTCTTCCCATTAGTTCTTGATAGTTTCAGAGAATAAGACCTTGATTGTTTTAAAAATGTTAGCTTAAGAAAAGATACCTACAGTAGTCGGGAAGAGTTATAGCTGGAAAATAGTTGATTTTTTTTCACATTGTCTCAAATAACCAGATGTTTTTGATATTCTGAGGTTTTAAATGTCAGTTCTATCAAGAAATAATTTCAAATGTTACAGTTTTTTAGGACATTTTTATTCCTAAATTGCCATTATTGGAGATAAACTCTGATTTCTTCTTTATACAGTATATTGTGTACATCGCGGGCTAAATTGTCTTCTTAAAACACTATTTTCATGTCACTATCACATTCAGAAACTATTAGTGATTCTCCATCAACTCCATTATATAAAACTTAGTCTTTTCCTTGTCTTTTAAGATTTCATAGTCTGACTCAATCTCATCTTTCCAACTACCATTATACATGATTCTTTATTGCTTCCTGACAATACTACTTATTAGCTTGAACACTCCTGCTCTCTTTTTCAGTAGTTACTCTATTCTCCACTAGTTGCGGAATGCCCTCCTTCCTCCTCCACCTTCCCACCCTTGCCCCAGTATAAATTCTGTCAAGCTTTGAAGCCCTAGTTTAAGTTACATTTTCTCTATGAAGCACTTCCTCATCATTCCAGACCAGTTTCCCTTGTCTGAATTCGTGGCCTGCAAATGGTCTCGTTCATTTGGTATGCAGCTCATTTAAGAATGTAATTTATATTGCCTTTTCTCCATTAAAAAATTTTTTAATATTACAGAAGTAGGGACCGAGAAAAACGCAGAGAAAGAGAAAGAGATATGGATCGTAAAAGGTCTCGGAAATCCCCATCTCCTGGGAGAAGAAGCCCAGAACCATCAGTAACCCAGAGTTCCTCTGCTCAGGATGAACCTACGGCAAAGAAGAAGAAAGATGAGTTGGATCCTCTTCTTACTCGCACCGGTGGAGCATATATTCCTCCTGCAAAGCTCAGGATGATGCAAGAGCAGATCACAGACAAAAACAGGCATGTCAATATCACTGAGTATACAATATCGTTGAAAAAAAGTCGACTATGGTCTAATTAACGTTGGCTATTGAGAGTTTACATTATTAGTCCACAATGGTAGAGACCTCAAATTAGATTTCGCCTCTTTACTCCATAAGCTTCCTTGGAGCTCTGCTTACTATTTTCCCTGACATTAGCTCAGCTTCTTTATTTTTTTACATGAATAAATCAAAAGGGTTTGAAGAAAGATCTTTTATTTTTACTATTTTCAAACTATTCCTTTTTTAGTTGTATGCATACCTATTAGTAGTGTCCATTTCTTCATAGATAATCAAGAGAATTATTGATATTTTAGAACTAAAATCCATCTTTCCAGTTGTACCAAACCACGAGTTGGCAAACTTTTTCTGTAAAAGACCAAATATTTTAGGCTTGTGCAGTGTTCTATGTCTGTTGCAGCTACTCAGCTCTGCTGTAGTAGTGAATACAGCCATAGGTAATATGTAAACAAATGAGTGTGGCTATGTTCCAGTGAAGCTTTCTTTACAAAAATGGGCTGTAGGCTGCATTTGAGTCATGGATGTAGTTTGCCAACGCCTATACTAATCTATGAAATGAAGTTGACTATGAAATGAAGTTGAATCTTATCTACTCCATAGTTTTCTTAGACCTTACCATCTTAGACTGTAATTTTTTGCTAAGGCAAACAATCAAAATTCATTGATGAACACTCACCCTCAAAATACCTTCACTTCCTTTTCAAAATAATTGAGATGAGAGGAGCTATATATGAAAGTATCGCTAAGTTTTCAGGACCTTTTTCTCTAGTGGAATGAGAGGATAATTACAAAAAGTATGGTCCAAGATTGAAATGGTCACTCAGTTGCCAGTTAGGTAATAAAAAGATTGGGATAGAAGGTAGCTACACTTAAAGAGAAACAGATTTCCAGGTGAGCCATGAAAGAGTATTCCCACATCTTTCGTAGGTATTTTAATGGCAACTTGAAAGTACTTGAGACCCTTAGATAAATGAAATCTAAATTTACTTCATGAATTAGCTTGAAGTAGAAATGTCATTTATATAAAGTATAAATATTTGAAATAAAATTTTTAAAATTTATGAGCTAGCAAGGGACATTAGATGACATTAAATTTAAAACTAATTAGTAAGTTTCTCTGTATGTGTAATATTCCAGTACGTGGTAGTGATGCCTGCAGTGTTACGTTTAGAAGGGATTTGGAGATGGCTTCTGTGGTGAGCAGGAGCTTCAGGAGCACGTAGGCCTTCTGCTCCCCGCTCTCTAGAGGAGGCAGCAGTGGCAGGTTTAGTGAGAGTCGTCGTCTCCAATCCAGTCCAAAGCTATCTTAATTATAGACAGAAACATTGTTGTGAAGCCAAGTCTTACTTCTTTATATATAAAGTGGGTGGAGAAGAGTCCCCAGTATATGTAATTTTACATAGATTTCTGGAAGATAATTTTATATACAGTTTAAATCTGCTCATGGGCTGTAAAGGGGACAAGGATAAGTAGAAGTCTCTTAAGAGAAGTCTATAGACTTTACTTTGAGTAGATACTAAGTCGGGGGAATTACGGGCTTCTCAATCAGGAAATACAAGTGTGCTTGGTTATAGTTTTTGTTTGTGTGTTTGTTTGTTTGTTTTACCGAAGTTTAATAGGAGAGAGTGTGATTATGTATGAGCACTCTTATTAATTAGGCTAGTTTTAAAGCCATTGATCTTGTTTCTCAAATAGTAGCATACCAAAGGGTTGGGGTTGGGGGCCATTGGAAATGTTACACCACCTCAAATGCAGCCATTTAGGGAATACATGATCTATAGGGAATTAAAAAACAATATAATTTAACTGCAAGTCAGTCTGCTTTTTGTCCTTACTGTCTGCTGAGGACAATGTCAGTGATAAAATACTCTTCCCCACCAGGGTAGACTGCTGTCACCACCTCTCCCTTGGCATACCACTCCAGAACAGGGACCCTTAACCTACAGACCTTCCAGAGGTCCATAGGTAGAATCTAGGCAGTCCATGAATGTAAATGGAAAGAAAAACTTGCATCTTTATTTTTACTTATGTCTAACTAAAATTTCGCATTTCTTTCTCTCAGGAATATAGGCAGGAGACCATAGTATTAACAAAGTATTTGCTGCAAATATCTTAAGATATTACTCAATGGCCGTGCTACTTGGAAATTAAAGAAGTTATTAGGCCTACCACCACTTCTTGTTATTTAATGAAGCACAAAGAATTCTATATCAAACTTTTTTTTCTTTTCATGCTTTGAAAACTATTTAAATATGATTGGTATCCTTTGTAATCCTATATATTTATATGTATTATTCCAAGAAACCCTTCAGCTTCGCCAGACTGCCAGAGAAGTATAAGGAAGGAAGATGAAAAAGATAAGACTTTCTGCAGCTGAAATCATATTCCACAGAGAAATAAATATAAAAAGCATAGAATTATAGAACTTTAAAAGACCTTAGGTGTCACCAAGTTCAACCTAAACAAACCCAGTTAGGCTAAAGTATTTGCCTAAGGTCTAAGTTAAAAAACAAGTAATACAGATGTGGGACTACTGCCTAAATGCAGAGATGTTCTTTAAAATACAACAGTCTTTCAGCCCCATGATTTCATATGACTTTTCCTTTTCCTGTATTTATCACTATTTCTTTACAGTTTAAAATACTTAATTTTGTTTTCCTTATGCTTTTATAAGAAAGGATGTAATAAAAATCTCCCTTTGTATGGCTTATACTTGGGTATTTCATATTATAATTTAAAATTTTTTAAAGTTGTCATTTTAAAATATTTTCTTTAAAGACAATTTTAACTAAACAAAGTATAATAATATAAAATAAGTATGTATTGAATCTAATAAAGGAATGTTATAATTTCCAATATGCATGGACATAAGAACAAAACATTATCCTTATATATCCTTATATAATTTTATTATGTTATTAAAGAGAAGTGATCTGTAGTTGAGCATATGTACAGAACATCAAATGTAGATTTAGGTATTTAGGTATTTAGTAAAATATATAGTCATATATTTTACTGCACTTTGAGGTCATTTTGTGAAAATAATGTTAAAAACAGAAGAACTCCGAGTATTTTTTATGTTATTATAATCTGCAGTTATTGTAATTGTTGATTAAGTTTTCATCTTTATTAAAATCAATTCTTTTTAGCTTAGCGTACCAGAGGATGAGCTGGGAGGCCCTAAAGAAGTCAATCAATGGTCTTATCAACAAAGTCAACATTTCTAATATAGGTATTATTATTCAAGAACTTCTTCAAGAAAACATAGTTAGAGGAAGGTAAGCATCAGCTATTTTATTTATAGTATTTCATAGCAATTTTTCAAATGAACATAATATCTACATGGACAATAATCATTGATTTATTGTGCTACTTCAGTAGTAGTTGAGAATAATTATTTAAAATGCATTTCTTGTAAAAATGTAAGCTTTTAACAAGTAACTTGTACTTCACCATTAGAAATTGTTGCAGAGTTTTTGCTTTTTGAGGTTTGATGTCACATACTGATTTTTGTGCAGACATTTATTTACTGAATACTTCCAATAATTTAAACCCATAAGGAATAATGAACATTTTATTTATATATAATTTTAATTTCTAATGAAAGTAAAGTGAGAATGTAAAAGAAATGAGAAAGATCAGTGATAAATCTTAGAAAAGCAGAAGAGAATGACAGTCATTTTTGTGTACTTTTAATTGGTTGTGATTTTAAAAAAAGGATCAGGAAATAGAAATATTTTATATTCTGTTTTTTTATTTTGAAATCTAAGGGATGTTTTCTTGTGTCATTCATGACCCTGATTTATCATCTCTAAAACATTGGTGAGGGGGCGTATAAAGTAAGATATAACATGTTGTGGGGATATAGAAAGTTGACCAAGAGGCAGCTTCTGTCCTCAAAAGTAGGTAGGTAGAGCTCTCCCATTTTAGTCAGAAAGCACCAGAGGCTATATGGGTTGCTTATGATCTCACAATTTATAAGCTGCGTTTTCTTTTCTCATTTTCTACTCTGTTGATTCAGTTGTCAAAGTTCAACCTGATAACTATTAAGATACTCTTTTACTGCCTTTTGGCAGTCCAATGATTATTTGTCATTAATTGCTAGAAATAACTTTGCATCTCTCCCCTTATCAAATGCATATAGAACCGTGCTCACTTCAAAATGAGTTGGAAGTGGAATCTTGTTGACTTTTTTTTTCGTTTTTAAACAGAGGCCTGCTGTCCAGATCCGTTTTGCAAGCGCAGAGTGCTTCTCCAATCTTCACCCATGTTTATGCAGCGTTAGTGGCAATTATCAACTCAAAATTTCCACAGATTGGAGAATTAATCCTCAAGAGGCTAATTCTTAATTTCCGAAAAGGCTATCGAAGAAATGATAAGGTATATATGATGGGCTTATAAGTCGACTGCCACATAGGGACAGTCAACTGAGCATGCTATATTTTATATATATACTAATAATCTAGTATCAACAGTGATAAGCAATGTTGATTGCAACATAGGAATTCTTTTTAAAAACTGCATTTCATGAGAACATTTTTTTGTTCCATTAAATATCTCTGGCCACTAGTGATGAGCTACAAAACTGATGGCTATAACTGTAGAATTATAATTATTTAACCAGGAATGGCACTATTTCGCATGTAATAGTTTTTAATCTTGTAGCTTTCTTATATTATAAAAATTATCCTTATGTGCTACATATTTTAAATAGAGTGTGTAAATAAGCTATAGATTTAGTAGTTAAATGAAAATGGTTTTAGTTTATAGATTAAAATTGTCTCTACCTTTACTTTTCAGCAACTCTGTCTTACTGCTTCAAAATTTGTGGCACATCTTATTAACCAAAATGTGGTAAGTAATTCTCAAAATTTGGTACCATTCACTGGCATTAGATATCACATGCTTGATGCCACTTCATTGACATATCTCTATCTTTGTTTTGCCTTATACTCTTTCAGAAAAGTATGTTGGATGATATTTTAGTTTTAAAATATAATAAATGTGTTTAATATTCTTAAATATAAAAAGAAACCTAGAACAACTATTTTATCAAATTAATCTGACTCTTAATACTATACATAGTTATTCAACTACAAATTGTTCCTTCAAAGAATGTAATTTAATCATATTTATGAGACAATAAAGTTGATAGTTCTTCCACTCTTTTCTCCTGTACTTGTTGTTCATGAGAATGTAATACTGATATTCTATAAAAAAAATAGTCTTTTCAACAACATGGTATATAGTCACATATTCTTAGAATCAGTTTATAGGGGTGCCTGGGTGGCTCAGTAAATTAAACATCTCCCTTCAGCTCAGGTCATGATCTCAGGGTCCTGAGATCAAGCCCCGCATCAGGCTCCCTGCTCAGCGGGGAGCCTGCTTCTACCCCTCACCCCCGCTCATAATCTCTCTCACTCTCTCTGTCAAATACATAAATAAAATCTTAAAAAAAAAAAGAATCAGTTTATAAAATATAAATGAAGTAATTTTAATCTGGTTTAATTGCAAGTAATTTTGTTCAGGTTTTGTGCTTATTTTGTATTCATCCATTCATCTATTTCAGAGGGTTTTTTTTTATATTTGAGAGTTTTGAGTTAGCTTCTATTTAAACTTAAAAATAATAGAATTGCTCTTATTCATACTCAGAGGTTTCCTTTAGATGTATATTATGTTTAATTATATAAGGAAGAATTTTGAAGTCACATTTGATCTTATTTATCACCATTAATATTTTGATTCTTTCCTACATAAAATTCTTTCCCATGTTCATTCTTTTTTTTTTTTAAAGATTTATTTATTTATTTATTTGACAGAGAGAGAGAGAGACACACAGCGAGACAGGAAACACAAGCAGGGGGAGTGGGAGAGGGAGAAGCAGGCTTCCTGCAGAGCAGGAAGCCCAATGTGGGACTCAATCCCAGGAACCTGGGATCATGACCTGAGCCGAAGGAAGATGCTTAACAACTGAGCCACCCAGGCATCCCCATCTTCATTCTTAAAAACCCATTAGATATTAACCTAATGAGTTAAATTATTACAATGGTAACTTGCTTTTTAAGACCATGGAGACTTAATTTCACGTATCTATGTGAAAGCACAGAAAGTAAGTTTTAGTTTTTGAATGTATATTCATTTATATTGAAAATATTTTTGTCATTACCACAAACCAGTTAAAAGGTTAAATATTTTAGATCTTCCAACTGTGGTACAGGGCAATATTTTCTTTTTTTTTTTTTCCATTGGTTTATTTATTTATGTATTTATTAAATTTTATTTTATTATGTCAATCACCATACATTACATCATCAGTTTTTGATGTAGTGTTCCATGATTCATTGTTTGTGTATAACACCCAGTTCTCCATTCAATACGTGCCTTACCCATCACCAGGCTATCCCATCCCCCCACCACCCTCCCCTCTAGAACCCTCAGTTTGTTTCTCAGAGTCCATAATCTCTCATGGTTTGTCTCCTCCGATTTCCCCTGCTTCATTTTACCCTTCCCCTACTATCTTTTTTTTTTTTTAACATATAATATATTATTTGTTTCAGAGGTACAGATCTGTAATTCATCAGTCTTACACAATTCACAGCACTCACCATAGCACATACCTCCACAATGTCTGTCTATCACCCAGCCATCCCATGCCTCCCACCCCCCATCACTCCAGCAACCCTCAGTTTGTTTCCTGAGATTAAGAATTCCTCATATCAGTGAGATCATATGATACATGTCTTTCTCTGATTGACTTATTTCACTTAGCATAATACCCTCTAGTTCCATCCACATCATTGCAAATGGCAAGATTTCGGGTTTTTTGATGGATGGGTAATATTCCATTGTATATCTATACCACATCTTCTTTATCCATTCATCTGTTGATGGACATCCTGGCTCTTTCCATAGTTTGGCTATTGTGGACATTGCTGCTATAAACATTGGGGTGCATGTTAACCCTTCAGATCACTACATTTGTATCTTTGGGGTAAATACCCAGTAGTGCAATTACTGGGTCGTATGGTAGCTCTACTTTCAACTTTTTGAGGAACCTCCATACTGTTTTCCAGAGTGGCTGCACCAGCTTGCATTCCCACCAACAGTGTAGGAGGGTTCCCCTTTCTCCGCATCCTTGCCAAAATCTGTCGTTTCCTGACTTTTTAATTTTAGCCATTCTGACTGGTGTGAGGTGGTATCTCATTGAGGTTTTGATTTGGAATGCCCTGATGCCGAGCGATATTGAGCACTTTTTAATGTGTCTGTTGGCCATTTGGATGTCTTCTTTGGAAAAATGTCTGTTCGTGTCTTCTGCCCATTTCTTGATTGGATCATTTGTTCTTTGGGTGTTGAGTTTGAGAAGTTCTTTATAGATTTTGGATACTAGCCCTTTATCTGATATGTCACTTGCGTATATCTTCTGCCATTCTGTCGGTTGTATTTTGATTTTATTGACTGTTTCCTTTGTTTTGCAAAAGCTTTTTATCTTGATGAAGTCCCAATAGTTCATTTTTGCCCTTGCTTCCCTTGCTTTTGGCGATGTTCCTAGGAAGAAGTTGCTGCGGCTGAGGTCGAAGAGGTTGCTGCCTGTGTTCTCCTTTAGGATTTTGATGGACTCCTGTCTCACATTGAGGTCTTTCAACCATTTGGAGTCTATTTTTGTGTGTGGTGTAAGGAAATGGTCCAGTTTCATTCTTCTGCATGTGGCTGTCCAATTTTCCCAACACCATTTGTTGAAGAGACTGTCTTTTTTCCATTGGACATTCTTTCCTGCTTTGTCAAAGATGAGTTGACCATAGAGTTGAGGGTTCATTTCGGGGCGCTCTATTCTGTTCCATTGATCTCTGTGTCTGTTTTTGTGCGAGTACCATACTGTCTTGATGATGACAGCTTTGTAATAGAGCTTGAAGTCCAGAATTGTGATGCCGCCAGCTTTGCTTTTCTTTTTCAACATTCCTCTGGCTATTCAGGGTCTATTCTGGTTCCGTACAAATTTTAAAATTATTTGTTCCATTTCTTTGAAAAAAGTGGATGGTATTTTGATAGGGATTGCATTAAATGTGTAGATTGCTCTAGGTAGCATTGACATCTTCACAGTATTTGTTCTTCCAGTCCATGAGCATGGAATGTTTTTTCCATTTCTTTGTGTCTTCCTCAATTTCTTTCATGAGTATCTTATGGTTTTCTGAATACATATTCTTTGTCTCTTTGGTTAGATTTACTTCTAGGTATCTTATGGTTTTGGGTGCAATTGTAAATGGGATCAACTCCTTAATTTCTCTTTCTTCTGTCTTGTTTTTGTATATAAATGCCACTGATTTCTGTGCATTGATTTTATATCCTGCCACTTTACTGAATTCCTATATGAGTTCTAGCACTTCTGGGGTGGAGGCTTTTGGGTTTTCCACGTAAAATATCATATCATTTGCAAAGAGTAAGAGTTTGACTTCTTCTTTGCCAATTTGGATGCCTTTTATTTCTTTTTGTTGTCTGATTGCTGTCGCTAGGACTTCCACTACTGTGTTGAATAGCTGTGGTAATAGTGGACATCCCTGCCGTGTTTCTGACCTTAGGGGGAAAGCACTCTGTTTTTCCCCATTGAGAATGGTAATCGCTGTGGGTTTTTCATAGATGGCTTTTATGATATTGAGGCATGTGCCCTCTATCCCTATACTCTGAAGAGTTTTAATCAAGAAAGGATGCTGTACTTCATCAAATGCTGTTTCTCCATCCATTGAGAGGATCATATGGTTCCTGTTCTTTCTTTATTAATGTATTGTATCACATTGATTGATTTCCGGATGTTGAACCAGTCTTGCAGCCCAGGAATAAATCCCACTTTGTCGTGGTGAATAATCCTTTTAATTACTTCTGGATCCTGTTGGCTAGTATTTTGGTGAGAATTTTTGCATCCATGTTCATCAGGGATATTGGTCTGTAATTCTTCTTTTTGATGGGGCCTATTGGTTTTGGGATCAAGGTAATGCTGGCGTTGTAAAATGAGTTTGGAAGTTTTCCTTCCATTTCTATTTTTTGGAACAGTTTCAGAAGAATAGGTATTAATTCTTCTTTAAATGTTTGGTAGAATTCCCCTGGGAAGCCATCTGGCCCTGGGCTCTTGTTTGTTGGGAGATTTTTGTGTTTTGTTTTGTTTTTTTTTAAAGATTTTATTTGTTTGACAGAGAGAGACACAGCAAAAGAGGGAACACAAGGAGGGAGAGTGGGAGACGGAGAAACAGGCTTCCCACGGAGAAGGGAGCCCGATGTGGGGCTCGATCCCAGGACCCTGGGATCATGACCTGAGCCGAAGGCAGATGCCTAATGACTGAGCCACCCAGGTGCCCCTGTTGGGAGATTTTTGATTACTGCTTCAATTTCCTTAGTGGTTATGGGTCTCTTCAGGTTTTCCATTTCTTCCTGCATCAGTTTTGGTAGTTGATACATCTCTAGGAATGCATCCATTTCTTCCAGATTATCTAATTTGCTGTCATATAGTTGCTCATAATATGTTCTTATAATTGTTTGTATTTCTTTGATGTTGGTTGTGATCTCTCCTCTGTAATTCATGATTTTATTTAATTGGGTCATTTCTCTTTTCTTTTTGATTAAGTTTGGCCACGGGTTTGTCAATCTTACTAATTCTTTCAGAGAACCAGCTCCTAGTTTTGTTGATCTGTTCTACTGTCCTTTTGGTTTCTATTTCATTGATTTCTGCTCGTATCTTTATTCTTTCTCTTTTCCTGCTGGGTTTAGGCTTTATTTGCTGTTTTTCCTCCAGCTCCTTTAGGTGTATGGTTAGGTTGTGTATTTGAGACCTTTCTTATCTCTTGAGAAAGGCTTGTATTGCTATATACTTTCCTCTTAGGACTGCCTTGGCTGCATCCCAAAGATTTTGAACAGTTGTGTTTTCGTTTTCATTGGTTTCCATGAATTTTTTTTTTAATTCTTCTTTAATTTCCTGGTTGACCCATTCATTCTTTAGTAGGATGCTCTTTAGCCTCCATGTATTTGAGTTCTTTCCGACTTTCCTCTTGTGACTGAGTTCTAGTTTCAAAGCACTGTGGTCTGAAAATATGCAGGGAATGATCCCAGTCTTTTGGTACCGGTTAAGACCTGATTTGTGATGTAGGTTGTGATCTATTCTGGAGAATGTTCCATGGGCACTAGAGAAGAATGTGTATTCTCTTGCTTTGAGTTGGAATGTTCTGAATATATCTGTGAAGTCCATCTGGTTCAGTATGTCATTTAAAGCCTTTATTTCCTGTTGATCTTTTGCTTAGATGATCTGTCCATTTCAGTGAAGGGGGGGTGTTAAAGTCCCCTGCTTTTATTGTATTGTTGTCGATTGTTTCTTTGCTTCTGTTACTAATTGGCTTATATAATTGACTGTTCCCATGTTAGGGGTATATATATTTACAGTTGTTAGATTTCTTGTTGGATAGACCCTTTAAGTAGGATATAGTGTCCTTCCTCGTCTCTTATTATAGTGTTTGGTTTAAAATCTAATTTGTCTGATATAAGGATTGCCACGCCAGCTTTCTTTTGATGTCCATTAACATGGTACATGGTTTTCCAGCCCCTCACTTTCAATCTGGAGGTGTCTTTGGGTCTAAAATGAGTCTCAGGCAGGCAGCATATAGATGGTCCTTGTTTTTTTATCCAATCTGATACCCTGTGTTTTTGATTGGGGCATTTAGCCCATTTACATTCAGGGTAACTATTGAAAGATATGAATTTAGTACCATTGTATTGCCTGTAAGGTGACTGTGACTGTATATTGTCTGTGTTCCTTTCTGGTCTACGTTACTTTTAGGCTCTCTCTTTGCTTAGAGGACTCCTTTCAATATTTCTTGTCTGGCTGGTTTGGTGTTTGCAAATTCTTTTAGTTTTTGTTGTCCTGGAAGCTTTTGATCTCTCCTTCTATTTTCAATGACAGCCTAGTTGGATATAGTATTCTTGGCTCCATATTTTTCTCATTTAGTGCTCTGAATATATCATGCCAGTCCTTTCTGGCCTGCCAGGTCTCTGTGGATAGGTTTGCTGTCAATTTAATGTTTCTGTCATTGTAGGTTACAGACCTCTTGTCCCGAGCTGCTTTCAGGATTTTCTCTTTGCCTCTGAAACTTGTAAGGTTTACTATTAGATGTCGGGGTGTTGACCTATTTTTATTGGTTTTGAGGGGGGTTCTCTGCCTCCTGGATTTTTTTATTTATTTTTTTTCTTTTGTATTTGACAGAGAGAGAAACGGTGAGAGAGGGAGTACAACCATGGGGAGTGGGAGAGGGAGAAGCAGGACTCTCGCAGAGCAGGGAGCCTCATGTGGAGCTCGATCCCAGTACCCTGGGATCATGACCTGAGCCGAAGGCAGACGCTTAACAACTGAGCCACCCAGGCACCCTAGTGCCTCCTGGATTTTGATGCCTGTTTCCTTCCCCAAATCAGGGAAGTTCTCCACCATAATTTGCTCCAGTATACCTTCCGCCCCCCCCCTTCGTTATTCTTCTGGGATCCCAATTCTAATATTGTTTCCTCTTATCGGATCACTTATCTCTCAAATTCTGCCCTTGTGATCCAGTAGTTGTTTATCTCTCTTTTTCTCAGCTTCTTTATTCTCCATCAATTGGTCTTCTATATCACTAATTCTCTCTTCTGCCTCATTTATCCTAGCAGTTAGAGCCTCCATTTTTCATTGCACCTCATTAATAGTCTTTTTGATTTCGACTTGGTTAGATTTTAGGTCTTTTATTTCTCCAGAAAGTGTTTCTCTCTTATCGTCCATGCTTTTTTCAGGCCCAGCTAGTATCTTTATAATCGTTATTCTGAAGTCTAGTTCTGATATCTTACTAATGTCCGTATTGAATAGGTCCCTGGCAGTCAGTACCGCCTCTTGTTCTTTTTTCTTGAGGTGAGTTTTTCCATCTTGTCGTTTGTCCAGAGAACAGATGAATGAGAGAACAAAATGCTAACAGGGTAACAACGACCCCCAAAAAATACTAACCAAATCAGAAGGGACCTGAAACCGGGGAAAAAGAAAGGGAAAGAAAGGAAAAAGAAAAAAAAAAAAAGAATGTGGTCAAATATCATCAGGCTAGTGAATAGATTAGTGCCACACACTAGATTTTGGGTGTATTTTGGTCTGTTAGAAGAAAGTGCCTCCCAAAATTTTAAAGAAAGAAAAACTTATATATGTACAAAAATAAGGGTAAATACGATGAATGGATGGAATATGACTATAAAGATGAAAATTATAAAAAGATTTTATAAAAGGAATTGATAAGATGTTTGGAAAAAGAAAGAAGAGAAATTAAAAAAAATTAAAAGGGAGAGAATGTGATCAGGCAGGAGACTAGAACAAAGCCATACACTAGAGATTTAGGGTATATTTTGGTCTGTCAGAAGAAACTGTATTCCAAAATTTTAAAGAGAGAACAACTTATATATATACCAAAAATAAGGTTAGCTACAATGGAGGGATAGAACATGACTCTAAAAACGAAAAATAAAAAAAAAAAAATTTAAAAAGGAATTGAGAAGTTGTTGGTTGAAAAAGGAAAAAGAAAAATTCAAAAAGAATAGAGAAAGAAAAAAAAGAAAATTAAAAATTTAGCTTTGAAAGACTAAAGAATCATGGGGAAAAAAGCCATGAATTCTATGTGTAGTATTCCCTTAGTGCTGGAGTTCTGCTGTTCTCATTGTGATCGGTAAACTCGGTCTTGGCTGACTGTTCTTGCTGATCTTCTGGGGGCAGGCGCTGTTGCAGTGATTCTCAGATGTCTTTGTCAGGGGCGGAATTGCCCCACCCTTGCCGGGCCGGGCTAAGTAATCTGCTCGGGTTTGCTCTCGATAGCTTTTGTTCCCTGCAAGCTTTCAGTACAGCATTGGAGGACGAGAGTGAAAATGGTGGCCTCCCAGTCTCTGGCCCAGAGGAGCTGAGAACTCAGGTCCCCACGCCTCAGTGAGCCCCTAGAGAAAATCAGTCAATCACTCCCATCTCCCCGGTCTCTGGCGGCACTCTGTGCTCACCCGGCCACTGTCTCTGGCACCCAACACCGTTTGGAGTCTCCAAACCCAGCAGATTCCTGCAGTGCATTCCCACACCACTTTTACCAGGGGAGGAAGGGGAGTCTCCCCAGATTTGCTGCTTGTTGGGTCCCTGCTGGAAGAGCAGTGACCCTACTGTGCCATGGATCACGGTTTATGGCAACCCTGAGCTGAGAGCCCACTCCTTGGTTCCATCTTTGCAGCCGGCTTCCCGGCTCAATACCTGAGAGCTCTGCCGCACTCAGGTACCCCCAGTCTTTTTGTGACTCCATGGGTCCTGAGACCACACTGTCCAAGTGAGGGTTCCACCTCCCGCTTAGCCACTGGAGCAACGTCCCTCAGCGGAGCAGTCTTCTAGAAGTTCCGATTTTGTGCTCTGCTGCTCTATCACTTGCCGATAGGGGCTGATGGAGGCTCCCTTCCCCCGTGGTCTGTCTTCCTGTATATCGCCTCTGATTCACTTCTCTGCACCTCCTACCTTCCAGAAAGTGGTCGCTTTTCTGTTCAGAGAGTTGCTGCTATTCTTTTCTTCGATCTCCTGTTGAGTTCGTAGGTGTTCAGAATGGCTTGATACCTATGTAGCTGAATTCCTGGGACCAGACGAAATTTATGTCTCCTACTCCTCCACCATCTTGCTCCTCCAGGGCAATATTTTCTTATCACTGATCTAAAATTGTTAGACCTCCCCACCATCCCACAAAATAAAAGCAGTATGTATTTTTGATGTTGTGCTCAAAGGAAAGGATGTTTTCCTGAGTTAAGACTTAAGACTGTTTCCTTCCCCATCTCAAAGAAGTGTCTGACCTTAGGAAGGCATACATACGGTGTCTTGAAAATGCTTCCTAGTACATTTCCTTTTCACAGCAAAGCTACTCAATAGACTTTTATTCACACCCTACCTGGCATTGTTTTTAAGTATTAATTTTTGAACATGGTGAGTGTCAATAACTTTATTTAGTAAAGAAAAAAGAGGGAAGTGTTCCCAAACTGTCCTTCAGTTCCAGAAGCAGTTAAGATATTTTCTGATAAAATTATTCATGTAATTTAAGAACTATTTGCTGTATAACTGAATTGCTGATAGAATGAACTAGAAAATGGATATAGTTATGGGTGTGAAGAAGGGCATTAGAAAAAGTGTAGTTTAATTTTTAACTTCTATTTTGAAGCTAATTATGGCATTTCCTGTAGATATTTTATGTAATGTATAGAATTATTTCTTCTGGAAATAAATAGTTGTATTTAATGTAATCAATTTAGATTTTTGGAGCAATCACCTGGAAATTTTTAACAGACATAATGAGAGTGAAAGAAAAATTTTATCCCATATTTGGAGTATTTCTGTATGCTAAAACTTTGCTCATCATATGTATAATGTTATTGCTGCAAAAACCAGATTTGCTAATTTTTTAAATTACTATCAGTAGTAGGTTAATATATGTAAAAGCATTTTCTCAATTCCATATGTCCTCAATCTGTTTAAGGCACATGAAGTTTTATGCCTAGAGATGCTCACTTTGCTCCTGGAAAGACCAACAGATGATAGTGTTGAAGTAGCTATTGGTTTTCTCAAGGAATGTGGCCTCAAATTAACACAAGTGTCACCAAGAGGAATCAATGGTAACTATAAGCCCTTGGCTTGATATTGAACTTTTGTTTGAGTATTATAATATCTTTTGCTTATTTTATTGCTTTTTTCTTTCATTTTAACTTTAGCTATATTTGAGCGCCTCCGAAACATTCTCCATGAGTCTGAAATTGACAAAAGGGTTCAGTATATGATTGAAGTGATGTTTGCTGTACGGAAGGATGGATTCAAGGACCACCCTGTTATCCTAGAAGGACTTGACTTAGTGGAAGAAGATGATCAGTTCACCCATATGCTCCCTCTGGAGGATGACTATAATCAAGAAGATGTTCTTAGTGAGTCTGAGTTGGGGTGGGGTGGGCCGGGTACAGGGTGAGTTGGGAAGTGGGGCACCAACAAATGTAAATATAGAAAATAAACAATTTTTAATTTATGTTTTTAAGATGTTTTCAAGATGGATCCTAATTTTATGGAGAATGAAGAGAAGTACAAAACTATTAAGAAAGGTATGTACAATTTTATAATCTATTTTTGATAAGTAGAAGCAATTCATGTAGTTATATAATACTAATAGAAAGGTTTAGATCACTGACCTAATGAAATCTCTGCTATTATGAAGCCATTCTCTTCACTGTTTTCCCATGCATTATTTTCTGTCTGGTGCTTGTTTGTGGTATTACTTCATTCTAAATTGTTTACCTCATTGTCCCTGTTGTCTTTCCTTCTATTTAAATTATACAGCCCTTAAGTCTCATTCCTCTTAAGAAATGTCTATATAGGGTCACCTGGGTGGCTCAGTCGGGTGAGCATCCGACTCGGTTTCGGCTCAGGTCATCATCTCAAGGTCCTGAGATTGAGCCTTGTGGTAGGCTCAGCAGGGAGTCTGCTTGAGATTCTTTCCCTCTCCTTCTGCCCCTCTGCACACGCGCACGTGCTCGCTCTCTTTCTCTCTTTCTCTCTCTAAAATAAACAAATAAATCTTTAAAAAAAAAAAGAAATGTTCCTATATTACTAGTGGCCCTTATTTTAACTTCACTACCACTTAAGAATTGGTGTTTAAATTGATGTCCAATGTAATATTCAACTAGATGCTATACTTTTATTATAAAGTACGGTATTTTATTATTTCTTCAGAGCAGGTTGATATCCTGATAAAATCAATGACAATTCCAGATAGGCTATCAGTGCTCAATACATTAATAAATTGATTATTATTATCATTTGTACATCATCAATATACTATAAGCACTAACTTTGGACAGACTTTGGTTTGTATTTTGCCTGTGCCGTCACTAGCTAAATGACCTGGCACAAATTACTTGTTTGATGTAGATGTTACTTGTTTGTTTAAGAATAAATAAAATACAGTGCTTTGTATTATCGTAGAGCAAGTATTTAGGCGATGCTTTTTTTTTTTGACATTTGTATCATTTCTAAAGTTAATTTTTAGGGATAACTATATAATTATAATTATAATTTTATAAGTTCATTTCCCTTGAGTTGTGATTTTATGTGAGAAGTACTTACTCTTCTGAAAGCTCTCAGGAAGACAGCAGGAGGCCTAGAGCTCTGTCACTTCCTCCATTCTGTGCTTTAGCCAGGCTTGGAAGTAGAAGGAAGTAGAAAGTAAGGCGTAAGCAGCTTTCCATTTCTATACATTATTCTAAAAATCTGCTACAATAAAGAGATTGCTCTCCTTAGGTGCCAATTTCCTAGGGACATTTCACTGCAATTACAATTTAGTTTCTAGACATGGGGAATTTCTCAGACCTATTTTGCCTTTTTATGAACTTCTTTTTCTACAGTATCACTCAAAGATTCTGAATGGTTTTATGGAATTTTTATCATACCTAGTATGATTTTTTTTTTCTTTTAACTTGGAAACTCCACATCCATTTCTTTAGGCCAACAGTGGTTGAGCAATGCTAGGAAAGTAGTACTTTTCTTTATTATAGCACTTAAACTCTCTGAACTTAAGTTCCCTTTATACTCTTGAAAATTATTTAGGACTCCAAAGAGCTTTTGATTGTGTGGGTTACATCTATTGACATTTACTTCATTAGCAATTAAAACTGAGAATATTAAAAATATTTATCAAATCATTTCAAACTAACAGTAATACACAGTGTTATACATTATATACTTTTATGAAAATAACTACTTTATGGAAACAAAGAAATTTAAGAAAAATGGCATGTTTTATATACTTGATACAATTTAATGTCTGACTTAATAGATGGATTTTCATATTGTTTGTGATTTCAGTCTCTTGCAATAGGTTGTTTTCATCGAAGTATATGAAGAAAATTTAGCCTCATGGATAATATGTATTTGCAAAAGAGAGAAGTATTTTAATAACCTTTTTAGATAGTGTGTATATTCTTCCTTAATACTATGCCAGTATTTAAAAGCTAATTGTTTCTTAAAGATTAATTGCAGTGTGAAACCTGAAACAATATTCTTGAATTTTCATACTCTATTACATCAAAATCCATTGGCCTATCACTTGGAATGGATCTTTTACCCATGCAGGATTTTGCAACATATTCCATTGGTCATTTAGAAAATATCAGTTCACTCAGTTATGCATATCTTCTAAGTGTTAACATGTTAACATTATCAAAATTAACACATTAACACAATATCAAGAAATCACATTTATTAGTATTGCCACCTACCTCATCAGAAAAGTCTAAATATTGGGAAGCTGTCAACCTCACAGGAATGGATCCAAGTTCTCCAAAGTTCTAATTTTCTCTTGAGAACTCCCTATTTTATCATGGTAGTAAATACTGTTAATTATTTTCCTTGAAGGGACCGTCTCACTTTGTTTATATTTGAGAAAATGTCCGCCAGATGCCTAACAACTATAGTTTGCCAGCCATTCTTTCAAGTAAAAATGGAAAACATCACTAATTGACCTTGCAAGTCAAAGAGTCGCACAAGTGCTTTTCTTTGAGATAACCATCACCATTGTGCATCTGTCTTTAACAGAAGGGCTATGTATGAATTCATGTTTTGCTACTCAGATGATTATATATGCTTATACTTCAGGGCTGAGATTGAGTGAAATTAGCAGTTTTCTACTTCTTCCTCAAGGGCATCCTCAGGTCAAGCTGGCTCTTTGCCTGCCTCGAAGAACATGGCAGTAAAGAGCACAGTGATGGCTGGTTCAGTTTGATGCTTGATTTGTGCTCAGATTGCAGCAGCTTCAACTCCCATTGCTTTTGGATGCTTGTAGATGGTAGCACAGAGAAAAGGCAGATAATGTCTGGATATTGTTATGAAAATAGTTGTGACCTCAGAGACCACCTGACAGGTCTCACTAATCCCCCAGGGACTTACAGATCATACCTTGAAACCGCTGCTTCATTCAGTTAATGAAATCCAGTTGTCATTTCCTAAGTGATTTCAGTAAGTAGATTCTCAAGTGGAGAGATGGGGAGAGGATGATGTAAACGACCAGACAATTCGTTTGACCTTCATTCTTTCATAAAATGTTCTTCTAGAACTGGCATTAAAAAATGGCCACAGCAGGAAGTGGGCACAGCTTTAGTAATTAGCACCTTAGAGTGACCCAGGTGCACTTGTGTTTTAGGTCTTACAGCATTTGGGAAGACAGCAGGAGTGCCTGTCTTCCTACTATTGAATACTAAATAGTTTCCTCTCTTAAAAGTCTGTCTAAACTACATTATATAATAGGAAACTAGACACTTTAGATTATTTCTTGAAGTCACATTTGTTAGAGATATTCTTGGGATTTGTTTGTCAGCTAAGGGCTGAATGATAACTCTTTGTTTTAATAAAAATTTATTTTTCACAGTATGAAGTTTTCTGCTAGCATTAAATATTATATGTGGCTCCTGATTTATAGTGCTCAGTTAAATATAAGAAATTAGAATTTCCCTAAAAGTAAGTTCACCCTAAAACTTTATCTTTTTTTTTTTTAAGATTTTATTTTGTCTGACAAAGAGAGACGCAGCGAGAGAGGGAACACAAATGGGGAGTGGGAGAGGGAGAAGCAAGCTTCCTGCTGAGCAGGGAGCCTAATGCAGGGCTTGATCCCAGGACCTGAGCCGAAGGCAGACACTTAACGACTGAGCCACCCAGGCGCCCCCCTAAAACTTTATCTTAAAAACTCTGATTTTAGAAGAAATGCAAAAGTGGAGTGTTAGCCAGGTTTGTAAAATCTTTTATCAGATCAACAGAGCACACACCATTGGGCGAAATATAACTTTAGTTTTTTTTCACTTGTTAACTATTAATATGATGACTAGCTTTATGTAGTCTCTTATTTACATTGCTGTTGTCATCCAGTTCTAGATGTAAGTTGTATTTTAAGAAGTGATTTTCCAGTGAAGTGTTCATCTTACCAGTTTTTTAAAAGGCTTTTAAACTTCTGTTTCTGTTTACATGTGGAAAGTCTTGAGATTAATTGTAATGTTCTATTCAATAGGTATACATTAGAATAAAAATCTCATTACTGTTTATTTAAAGTAAACACTAAATTATGCAATTATTTTTTCTCCCTTCTTTGTCTTTCATAGCCTAAATTCTTATTTTCTATATCTACCCTTAGCTTTGTATAATAGACTGTATCCTTTCTGATGCTGAACTAATAATATTTTGATTCCAGTATACTAGTTTCCATTCATAATTTGTTTTTCTGGTGCTCTTGCTCTTTTGGAAAACCTTCGTCTACTTTTTCGTTGTTGTTCTTCTCATCCCTTCCTTATTTTATGACCATTTTCTACTTGGCAGAAGAATGATATGTATGGCTCTCTCACCACCTAGGCAATAACATGAGACCCCTGTGCTCACTTCGTTGGTGATAAACTGTAGCCACTATGGATTTTGGCGAACTGAGAATTATCTTCTCAGAATGAGATTCATGTGTATCACTTGCTCATTAATATTTTCCCATACTTTGTTCTGATAGAAATTCTTGATGAGGGAGATAGTGACTCGAACACAGACCAAGATGCTGGAAGTAGTGAAGAGGAAGAGGAAGAAGAGGACGAAGAGGGAGAAGAAGATGAAGAAGGTGAACGTATAGCTCATTCAAGTAATACTGTAAAATACTCTGAAATTAAATTAATTCTAATGTAATCCTCTAAAATAGTGGTTCCCAATCTGTGGAGGGCTGGGGGCTGCTACTGGCATCTAGTGGGTGAAGGCTGGGGATGCTGTTAAACATCCTACAAGTCACAAGACTGCCCCCACCACAACAGAGTATTATCTGGCCCAAAATACCAGTATTGCTAAGGTTGAATAACCATGCTCTAAAAGTATTAAAGAATGAAATCGTTTTTTAATATCGGCATAATTTCAATTTGACATTATATGCCTTTGAGTATAAACCATGAAATAGATGCATTCGTGTTGAGTGCATGTGATTTCTGCAACCCGACATGAATGTGACAGATGAATGTGGCTAGGTATTTGCTATTCGTTTTGGCAGAATAAAGTGGGGAGGCCAAAAGCTGTGTTTGCACAAAGCAGGCATGATGTTCTTGTTCAGCTTTGATTACTTTATTTCACAGAAAAATAAGCTCAGAACATTATTTTATTTAAGTCTTAGTTAAAACGTCAAAACATACGTAAGACTGGTCATTATTTACTTATATTGCATATTGAAAATATTAAGAGTATATCTTTCCCTATTAGGACATAATCTATTTTAGTTCTGTCCTAAGGTGTAATTATTCTTCTACAACATATTTTATAAAAATAAATTCAATTTTTTTCCAGTGTCTTTCTTACTTAAAACATTTCCTAACTATGTACTATATTTAGCTTTAGAATTTCTTTGTTTTATGTGAAAATACTGTTCAAATAAGAACTACTAAATATTTATAGGGGAAGTTGTCATGCATTAGATAAGAGAAAATTTTGACAAATACACATATTCATATTGGACCCATCTAGTCTGCCATGATGAGTCAGTGTTCTCTGAAACTGATTTTCTATCCATAATTTACAGTTTTTCCAAATTATCAAGATACTGTTTATAATTCTAGAAATAATATTTTACCAAACAACAGCATGAGTGCTGCCTTTTATAATGTCTAAATGAGCAGGCAACACAGAAACAAAAATATTTCTGGCTTGATTCTGGACTTCTTTGAACTGACAAAAGTTATTAAAGTACTCTAAGATATGGCAGAAGACTGGAAATGGTTACTTTGAGCTCTGCAAATACTATTTTACACTGTAGAAAAGAGCATTATCGTTAAACTCATAGATTCTAAATATTTATGAAAAATTATAATCTAGAGATATATCTTCAGTCCTTCACATTTATTTTTGCAGTCTCATAATTTTGTTATGTTTAATTTCTTTCAGGACAAAAAGTGACCATTCATGACAAAACAGAAATTAATCTAGTCTCATTTCGTCGTACAATTTATCTGGCTATTCAGTCAAGGTAAGATACTGTAGCTCAGTTGATCCTTATTTTTGATAGGGGATGGACAAGAAGATGGGATTTTTAGAATCTGATGACAGTAAACTAGATACCATTTCAGGGATTCTCAAACTACCTGCCCAACTTCATAGATCCCTGCTGTTGGTTCTTTGCTTCAGGAGAAAATTATCTTTATTTGGAAGGTCTAATTGTGTTACATAATTAAATGTTTTTTTTTTTTTTAACTGTGTCATTCCTTATAGTTAAATATCACTAATAAAAACCTGAAGACAACTCTCTGTTATAGAGCTGGCATAGTATATAATTGTAGTGGAAATATAATATTTTTTTAATTTGGTTTCTAATTCTGATTCTAAGCAAAGAAGTACTTTTATGATAACTTTTGGACACTGATTTTTTTGTGTGTGCAAATGGAAATGAACATAAATGGAAATAGGAATTGGGAAGGTTTTGAGGACCCTTTAAAGTAATGTTAAGTAAGAACTACTGTGATCTCATGTGAATATCCTATTCCCTTTGAAGGCTGTGAGTTTGGTTTGGAAGAGAAATAAATGAAATATTAAATGCTTAGTACATCTGTTGTTTTTTATGCGAATCAGCCTATTGATTTAATGGGCACAGTGTTTACATTTTGCACCGGAGGAGGAATGTTTTCTCAGTTTTGTTTTCTTACTAGGTTTTGTATATTTCCATTTAGTATGATGTAATAGCAAAAATGATTCATACGTAGGAGTCATCCTGTTTTTATTCTGTCTGAAAACTTTTTGGCTTAGATTCATCTTCAGAAAGGGAAATGTTAAAAAACAAAACATTGGCTAGAAATATTTTTGGTTTATCCTTACCTATTTCTTTGCCTTTCACATGAAAGAAAAATCTATTAAGTATTTTTTCATACAAACTTAAAGTGAAAAATGAGAAGTTTTTGTTATAGGTAAAAATTCCCAGTTTGACCTTTCATTTATCCTTTTTTAGAAATTTAACAGTAATCTATTGAGAACAGCAGATTCACTGTTTTAATATTGCTGTTAACATTAACTTTGAAGAGTTAGAGTGGAGGTGTTTGGATAACTATTTAAAGGAAACTGTTTTTTTAGTTTACCAGACCTTGATAATCCTTGAACCACACAAAAGATTTAAAAAATGAAAGCATTGGACAGGTGACAATCACGATTATAAAGTGGTACCAACGCTAGTAACAGCAGTACTGTTTTATGTGTTGGTATTTGTTAAGAGTTCTGAGCCCCTGAATGTCTAGTAAAAATAATTTATATATGACAAAGTTAACTATACTTAAAATCTCATACATATTTTAGAAAGAACCACAAAGACAGATGTTTAAAGGACATGGTTGAGGGAGTCATGTAATGGGATCCTGAATCATAAAGTTAGTGAACAAATATCACTCTAGACTAATAAGTGCTATTATTGGTCATTAAAACAGCTGAAGTGATGTACTTTAATTTTTTTTTCAAAGCAACAGTACTCAGTATTAATGATTTTACTGAGATACAGGTAAACATCATTGATACACTCTTTTTAAATTTAAATTGATATGCTCTTTTTAAATTTAAATTGATACACTCTTTATGGTAAGCCTTTTAGTACCATGAATCAGGGACTTAATGTCCATGCCATTTGACCATTTTTCATTATATTTCTTAAAGAAATAGAAATTGACAGAATTATATATAGAATTGTTCAGTACAAAGAAAAAAAGACCATCTTGTCCAATACAAATCATCAAATGTCCAGTTTATGCCACCATTGAAAGTTAGGCTAATGTGGGTCTTGTTATTGATGTGGGCAAGTGGTCTGACTTAATGTGAAATGGGGCAAAAACTGTATAGACACTATAGTACTGTACCAGTAGTATTATCTTAACTGTTTAAATAGGTAGACAGATTCTAAAAGTGATACATTAACATATCAACAGTGGTAGTCTTGAGAGGAGATTGGATTACAGATTTTTTTGTGTCTGTTTTCCAGTTTTTTGTGTTTTTCAAAAGTCTTACGTTTACAGTATACCAATCTGTACCAAATATAATATAAATCAAGAGTGGAATATAATCATCAAGTCAGATGGCAGTGAGGGCATTTTATAGAGTTTGCTTTTGGAAATCTTGCAAACAAAAGGACTGACAACTGTGTGGTGATTTTATTTTTTTAGTTTCTTTCCTTTTAGAGTTGACTGATCTCACCTGTACTCTTATCTTCTTACTATCCTGGCTCCTAAATGACCCTATCTCATTTACACAAAACAAAATTATACAGTTGGTTTTGTTATTAAAAAGTAAACATTCCTGTTTATTCTTCCTTTCAAATGATATTCCACTCTGATTTTGCATTATTGAAGCTGTAGCATCAGAGGGAGGTGGGTTTATCGTTTTCCCACCAAAGTTTCTTAGATTGGAAACATCAACAAAACCATGTGTAAACACAGCTGGGAAACTAGCATCATGTAAAATCATTTTTCTTTACCCTTCCCTCAGTCACTGTTTATTTGTGTTAAACCTGAAATTCATTTGATTTAGCAACCTAAGATAGCTGAAACAACAAGCAAATTTAATTCATTTAATATTTACATTTAGTACAACTTCAAAAGAATCTTGGTATAGGAAATTACCAAATACTTTTAAAATAAGAACAAGGAAAATAGACTATCATACAGCTGACTTTCTCACTGGTACTTATTAGATAAACCGAAAGTTATAAAATATTTTTATTAATTGATTGACTTATTTTTCAGAAATTGCAGGGTTTTTTTCCTGCATACTAATTCTGTTTGAAAAAAAATTAAAACTAGAAAAGAAAATGTCAACATCTTTCAAAATACTTTTTGGTAATATTGCTATATTGTTGAAGTTTATCAACTACAGTTTAATATTTTAATCATACTGCCAGATATTGTTTAATATTACCTGTTGCAAAAGCTCTTTCTGATATATTTCTTTCTTCATTTTAGTTTGTTTTTTTAAATTCTACTACATTGTACCATTCTGAGTTATTACTCTATTGTGCTTATGAAACTCAATAAGTATCAGAAGCTGAGGAATCAGATGAACTATAAAACTAAATTCATAATCATTCTATTTCAGTGGCTGATTATTTTATACTGCTTTAATCAAAAGAATGAAGGTTTGAACATTCTACAAAAAGTACAAATATATTAGTATTATTCCTGTATTGAGCTCACATTAAATTTGATAATTTTCTTAAGTATATTGGAAATATTTTTAATGAAGCTTACATGAATGTATAAAAGCAAATTATTTTTCCTTGTAAGTGATTTTGGTTGTTTACTATTTTTATACTTAGTTTTTGAAAATGTAGAAGCACTGTGGATGGGTATGAATCATGATAACTTTTTTTTTCTTTTTTTTCTTTTAATTTTTTATTGTTATGTTAATCACCATATATTACATCATTAGTTTTTGGTGCAGTGTTCCATGATTCATTGTTTGTTCATAACACCCAGTGCTCCATGCAAAACGTGCCCTCCTCAATACCCATCACCAGGCTAACCCATCCCCCTACCCCCCTCCCCTCTAGAACCCTCAGTTTGTTTTTCAGAGTCCATCATCTCTCATGGTTCGTCTCCCCCTCTGACATACTCCCCTTTTCTTCCTCTCCTGTTATCTTCTTCTTTTTCTTTTTTCTTAAAATATGTTGCGTTATTTGTTTCAGAAGTACAGATGATTAAGCACTAGATGTCATGCTGGGCTCTGGGGCATCTTTTACCTCTTACTGACTTGGGTCAGAGATAAGTGGAAATATTTAACAATGTCATAAAAATTTGTCTACTTTCTTTCTATATATTTGCCCATTCTGGACAGCTTATATAAATGGAATCAAACTATATGTGGTCTTTTATATCTGACTTTTTCACTTCACATAAATCAGAGTTCATCCATGTTGTAGTACATCTCAGTACTTCATTCTTTGTAGAATTAAGAGCTATTTCTTTTCTATATACATGATACAGTACTGTGAAGCTACAATAAAAAAGTTATTTTAAACAATTATTAAAGCAAGATCCTTGTTTATAAAAGAGTGCTATGGTTTAACTAACAATGCTGCAAGTTTTTAACTTATTGTGACCATTTTATCTCTACAGTTTAGATTTTGAAGAATGTGCTCACAAATTGCTGAAAATGGAGTTCCCTGAGAGCCAAACAGTAAGTTAATATTTTTTTCTTCTATTAGGAAATAATATTGGTTATAAAAATGTTTAAGACAATATAGGCTTTATGAATTGAAATAACTTAGTATTGAATATTCATTTTTTAATGTAGCTATTCTAAAATTTTAAAATAACTTAAAACTTAGTTCTGGGGTGCTTCATAAATGCTACTCATTGCAGTGAATTAAATGGACTGCTTAAATTGGATGTGGGAAAAGGAGGAAGTCTCTGAACCACTGCACTTTACGTGAATTTCTGAGTGGTTGCCTATAAATCAAATGGTGGCTTAAAATACAATAGGAGATTTGTTCCTTAATGAATTGCCTACTCCCATCTGCTTAATGCACTAAAACATTCTTTTGTGGTAGAAATTGTAATGATCACCATACATGTTGTTACATTGTTTTAATTGGATATAGAAGAATCTGTCATTTTTTTTTCATTAATTCAACAAAATGTATTCAGTATATACTACATGTCATACTCTCTACAGGGTATCAGGGATTCAGTAATCCAGTACATATTAGCCCCCTCTTAGTCCAGGGGACTCATAATTTTATAACTTAGTATATACTTCACTGTTCAAAGTATCATAGAACCCTAATGACAAAAATAATAACTGGATTGAGTAGATTATCTTGGGTGTTTTTTATAGTTGCATTCTTATCTATAGTGCTCCCTGCCCATCTGTATTTTAAATCCTTGGAACCTGAGCCAAGGCTTTTGGGGTTTTGTTTTTCACACCCTGGTTTACACATGGTAGACCCAGCAGAGATGCCACAGTGAATAGATCAACTCTAGGCTGTTTCTATTTCTAAAAGATCTTGACTATCTGAGCTGTTACTATTAGGTGTAAGTGCTTTGTTTTAAGACTTTAAATATGATCTGTTACGGGGATTGGCAGACTGTGGCCCAGGCCCACTACCTATTTTTCTAATTAAAATTTTATTGGAATACAGCCATGCCCATTGGTTGGTGTACTGTGTATAGTTGTTTTCACCTTATGGCAGCAGAATTGACTGGTTGCGACAGACATCTTATAGCCTCTAAAGCCTAAAATATTTACTGTCTGGCCTTCGATTGAAAAAGTTTACCAATCTTTTTCTAGATTGTGGATTTCTTCTTGAAATGCCATGGTATGTAATTTTGAGAGGAAATGAAAGTTCTCTTTTCCCTCTTAAAGTTTGTTTATTGGTATATTAGAAACAGTGTACCTATTTATACCCTGGGGGCACTTGATGTGTTCACTTTTGAAAGGAAATAAATTAGTGAATTAACCTTTAAAATGATAATTGAAACTGAAATTACTATATGATCTTGTCACATTATTGAGGAGTATAATTAAGTCATTATAACTTTTATTAATATTAATTCAGAGCATAGTTGTTCTAGAACCTCAACATATTTTGATAGCATTTGGAAGAATGTCGTAGTGCATCTATTTTCATGCACTCAAAAGACTCTCCTAAAATCGCTATAATACTTAATTAAAATGTTAAAATATTTAATTATTATAAGCCACAGGGAATAACTCTTATAAATGAATTTAGTCTAGGGAAGAAAGTAATTTGTTTTATAAGTAGCACTGGCTTTATTAGCAATGCTGTCAGCATATTACTATGTTATATTGTTTAAAACCTGATTAACTTATGTTATTGTAAAATACAATGTTAGTAGAAAGAGTTGGAAATGCATTTTAATATATCAAATTAACATAATATGGCAGAACTCAGAAAAACCTCATTTTAACTTTTTAGTACTATATTAAATTTTGACAAAGTATATCTTTCCAGAACTTACACATTAATAAGCATTGTTTTTCATTGAGGTGACTTGTGACTAATCATAAAAAAATAATTTAGCAATGTAACGACATCTAGAAACAACTTAATATTGTGAATTAAGTTAGGCTTTTTGAGTAGATTGTTTTATAAGTAGATTTTCAACTTCCAGAACAGCGCAACCAATAGAACTTTCTGCAGTGATGAAAATATTTGTATTCCACTCTGTCTAGTATAGTAGCCACTAGTCACATGTGGCTTTTGAGTACTGAAAATGTGGCTGGTATGACCAAAGAACAAAAATTTTAATTTTTTTTTTTTTTTAAGATTTTATTTATTTATTCATGAGAGACAGAGAGAGAGAGAGAGAGAGAGAGAGAGGCAGAGGGAGAAGCAGGCTCCCAAGGAGCAGGGAGCCCGATGCGGGACTCGATCCCAGGACCCTGGGGTCATGACCTGAGCCGAAGGCAGACGCTTAACCATCTGAGCCACCCAGGCGCCCCAAAAATTTTAATTTTATGTAACGTTATTTAACTAATTAGCTAGGGGTTACCATGCTAGACAGCACAGTTCTAGAGTATCTGTTCTGTGCCTCTTTGGGACCCTTTTCCTCCCTCTTGCACATAGATATACGCAGTAAATATAGATAGACCTAAGTTTTAAAAATATTTACAATATTTACTTAGGTTGCATCTCACATTGTTAAATATGACAAAATGTCAAAATTTTTAATTGAAAATATAAAGGTAAAATTAAATAGAAGTAAAAATGAACTGAAAGGGTATATATTATATTTTATATAATAAATATATTTTTGTATATTATACATTATATTATATTTTCTGTTTATAGAACACAGATACATTGCAGTTACTATATTTGGAAAAAATAATCTTCAACTTTTTGGTAAATGTTTTGTAGAAAAAGATATTTAGTCAATTCTACAGCAGTGGTCAGAGAATGAATTTAGGCCTTTTTTCATTTTGTCGCCATTGATTTGTCCATGTTTCCTGAGTTTCTTTGTCTATGTGATTGATATAATCAATACATATTTCATTAACAGTATTTTAAAATTATAAATCATTTGTGATGATGGTATTTCCTGGTCCTGGATTTACTCTTGCATTTATTAGTTCAACAGAATTTTTACACAGGAGTTTTCAAGGCACATAAATAGCTGATTAGACAATATATTACTCCAACAGTTATGGAATGATTTGATCTATTTGTATAGATTTATCAATAGATAGATGTTTATGTGTAACATTTATTTTAAGGCTAGGAAATCCGGCCACAGAGGTGTTTTTTTCTTTGTTCTTGTAAAAATATTTTTTCTTTATTAACCAGAGTGTCATTTAAGTTAATGTTGTAGCTGTGCTTATTTATGCTTCTATGAAGACTCATGTTCTACTTTTCCCATACTAATTAAATATATTCCTTAATAATTGAGTTTAAAGGTGTATATCTGAATTGTTAGGTGGCATATTGATGATCTATATTTTTCAAGATTTTGTGTAGAAACTTTTTAGAATACAGTCTATTCAGTCTCTTCATGGTGTATCTGTTTCATATAGTAGATTTTCTTGAAGTAGTTCATACTTAATATGAATTTAGAATTTTGTAATCACTCTAGTTAGCATGGATGACTATGAAAACTGTCAGCTAAGCTGAAGGCTTTAAAAAACTATAGGCTTGACATAGACTGAATTTTTTAATTTTGTCTTAATAACAAGCTCACAAAGCTTTGGAAGTTTTGTGTATTTAAAACCTTATTTAAAAATTCAGGCTGTCTCTGTCATATTGATAAATTATCATATAGCATAGATTCATTGTGTTCTGAATCATTAATGCAGTTTTTTCCTCCAAATAGAAAGAACTCTGCAACATGATACTTGACTGTTGTGCCCAACAAAGGACATATGAGAAATTTTTTGGCTTATTAGCTGGGGTGAGTTCCAGCCTCATTTTTCTTGTTGGAATGTAATAGAATCACTAAGGGAATCCTTAACATGAATATTGTGAATTAATGTGTCTGCTTTGTGGTCTTGTCTAATATAATAGCAAATCTTTGCTAAAAGCTCGTTGCTCTTCCCTTCCTCAGGTTTCCCATCCTCTGTAGTTTCCTCCTTTCCTACTTCATTTTGTAGTGCCTTAACATTGCATATGACTCTTCCAGAACTTTTTGAAATTCTGTGTGCTTTGTAACAATTTCCCAAAGAGGACAATTAAATGTTGCCTTTTCAAAAATCTCAAAGTAGTTTCTGTTAGTACATGTTCAGGCAGCACAAATAGAGCATGAGCTAAAATAAGTTTTTAAATCTAAACTCTACCCACAGAGAAATATATTTACATAGTATGCAAATGTATGTGTCTATGATAAGCTACTTGTATAATTTTGTTTTAGCATATAAACCCCAGGTAAATAAGGATGATATATATATTACCTTCTTTTTTAAGCATTCCATCATACAGCACAAAAAGATTGAGTGATATGATATATAAAATATTTACTAATTTTTGATTCAGTAAATTTAGAAGGATCAGATATGCTCATAATGGTATTGAGAGTCAATTTTTAGTGGTACTGACATTCAATTTTTTTTATTAGCGATTTTGCATGCTAAAAAAAGAATACATGGAATCCTTTGAAAGTATATTCAAAGAACAATATGATACCATCCATCGCTTGGAAACAAACAAATTGAGAAATGTTGCTAAGATGTTTGCTCACCTTTTATATACTGATTCACTTCCATGGAGTGTAAGTAGATGGGTTGATATTTATACTTCCTTCCTAATCCCATTATTCCTTAATAGGGTATAATATAACCATACTTTTCCTATGTAGGAAATGTACTTTTAAAAATGAAATGTATAGCAAACTTTTACTGTAATGGCTATCTTTGAGGTTTTATTCATATAACATGGGATCGAGAAGCTAAGTAAATAACATGAATATAAGAAATACCATCCTAGGTGATTTTAACAGTCCAGACATCACAGTCCTTTTTAATAGTGATGGCTAATGGTGTTTTCAGGGAAAATAGAGATTTTCATCTTCTCTAGGTGTGCACACGTGAATACACACTCATACCCACATACATCAATAGCTTGGTGATCCATGCATCATGTAGTCAGTTCTTTGGAACAAGATAAGATATCCTTGATACACAGATATATACTGGATTGGAATTTGAAATGCATTCATGAAGCTGGCATTTATTGTACAACTGCTGTTCATCCAACAACCATTCATTTAGTTACCAGCTATGTATGTGCCCAGTCACTTGAGAGAGATACTGGGCATCCAAAGTGAATTATATATGATCTCTGCTTTCAAGAAGCATACCATATAAGAAATACATAAGGTAAGATATGCCCATAGCACCAATACAAAATAACAAGTGATAGGTTATAAGAAAAGTGAAGTTGAAAGAAAGAAATTACATCCAAGAGGAAAGAAAGAAGAGGATCACATTGTAGAATACCACAACCTGATGGTAGAATGAGGCAGCAAAGTGACCTCATAAACATTAGGTTGTTGTAATATTGTAAGTACTAAGTATATCTAGCTGCATTAATAAGCATTTTTTAAGCTCACCTAGGAGCCTGATTATAATAATATTTTTACTTCTCTTTCCCCCTCTGGGAATGAAAATGAAATCAAGGTTTTAACCAATTGAAGCAGATGGGTTCCTGGAACAAAGAACTCATAAAGACTGGAGGTTACTTTTAGTTTTATTTGTCCTAAAACATCTCTCTATGGCTTCAGTTTTTAAGCCTCAATCTTAGTATTCAGAACAAGCCATCACTCTTCCTGTCTTTACCCTTATTGTATATGTACTACACAAAACTATAGCCTAATGCTCTAAGTGGCATTTTGCCCCAAACCCTTATATATATCCACATTTTGATGAGTGAGTTTTAGGAGCTAGTAATCTTTGCTTCAGCATTATATACTCACAGCAGAATATATCTCTGCTATAAAAAGCACATTACTCAAGAAAGAATGAACTCTATTTCTGTAGTATCTTAGCGTTACGAAAATTAGCATAGAGAGGTAGTCTTAAACTTTGCCAAGAAGTAATACTTCCTAGGACAAAGAAAGATATTCATGGACAATTCTTTAGAGACACTTAGAGTTATAAATATTGGTCAATTTGTTTTTTGAACAAAATAAAATTGTCTTTTAATTTTAATTTTCAGGTTCTTGAATGTATAAAGCTAAGTGAAGAAACCACTACATCATCCAGTAGAATTTTTGTTAAAATATTTTTCCAAGAACTTTGTGAATATATGGGTCTTCCTAAACTTAATGCAAGATTAAAGGATGAGTAAGTTTATCATTATGCACTTTTTATTCTTACTGTCCTCAGGAATTTTCTTCCATTATAGCAACATAAGTCCACACTTGGTTGTAAAAGTAATAGTTAAGCCTCTAGGACTTTCTTCATCCACTAATTACTACTCTGAATCTCATGTTCTGTAGCACAGGACAACATGCAGTTTTTAATGTTGGGTTTTAGTTGCAGTAGAGAAAACACAGAATCAATGCCTCTTTTAGTTAGAACACATGGAATTCTTTTGTATGTTCACTGGAGTTTTCCAATAATGAGTACTACTTACAGTTGTATTTTCATTTTTAACCCTAATTTTGAACGTTAGAAAATTAATTAATTTTTGTTATCAATGGATAATTGTAAATATATTTAGATGACCCAGTCATGTAATTGTTCAAATTATTACACTGAATGAGAGTCTTGTTCCAGGACTATCGTGTAATCCCTATCTCAGCTTTCTTATTTCCTGTTTATTCAGATTACCCATTGCCACTCACATTGACTTCTACTGTATTCACACTGCTGAATCGTCCTTTCAGATTTCTTAGTGACTACCTGTCAAGTCAAGTACTTTTTCTCAGTCCTCATGCCCCTGGACTTCCCAGCCTTACTTATACAGTTGACCACTTGCTCACTGTGGCTCCTCACTTTCTTCTCATTCTGCCTCACTCTTCATGGTCTCTACTCCTCAGCCTACCACTCCTCTTTGCCACAGTTTCCATTCTGGGTTCAACATGCCCTCTCTGGGCTAGTCATTCTGCTCCCCTTAGCTTCATAGACTAACTTATTGGTCCCTGTCTACTTCACCAGGTTTATCTCCTCCCTCTCCACAGGCTGCACCAACATTGCTCAGCTCATTCGTGCTTCCTTACCTCCATTTCCAGAGCTAGAAATCCCCTCTCTTGGTCTATCCAGCAAAACTCTTAATTATTCTTCTTATATGTCACCTTTTTCTATGAAACAGTTTGTCCTGACATTGCTGGTTAGTCATTCAATGTGGTACTCAGAACAACATGTCCAAACCACCTCGTATTGTTAATGTTTTTTGTTTGTTCCCCTGCTAGAAATAATAATTATATGCAGGCTTCATCCATGATTTTGCGCTTTTGTTGACTACTTTTTCCCCATCCCCCAGTGCCATGCACAGTACTGTGTGTGCATGTATGTGTGTATGTGTGTGTGTATATATATATATATATATACACACACACACACACACACACACAACTCTGTTATGTATATTCACATACTACATATATATGCGTGTGTGTATGTTGTATATAGTCTACAATATGTGTGTATGTGTGATGTATAAAAAAGTTTTTAAAAACTTCTGTGGATGCCTGGGTGGCTCAGTCAATTAAGCATCCAACTCTTGGTTTCCGCTCAGGTCATGATCTCAGGGTTGTGAGATTGAGCCTGGTGTTGAGTTCTACACTCCATTGGGAGTGTGCTTGAGATTCTCTCTCCCTCTCTCCCTCAGGCCCCGCCCCCCATGCACACACCTGCGCAGGCTCTCTCTCAAATAAATAAATAAATAAATAAATAAATAAATAAATAAATCTTTTCTTAAAAAACCTCTGTTGTAAGTTTAGTAAATTATGACTTGACCCTACTCATTTCATTTAGATAGCATGTAGTCTAAAAAATGATATAAATCACTTACTTAATTATATTTCATTTACTAATTTAATAATACATAGAAAATCTGAAAAATGACTGCATACTGCCTTTTTATCTTTAAACAATGTGTTCTCTTTTGTTCATACTTTTTCTTGTTTTAGAACCCTCCAGCCATTTTTTGAAGGATTATTACCCCGAGATAATCCAAGAAACACTCGGTTTGCCATCAACTTCTTTACTTCTATAGGTCTTGGAGGTTTAACGTAAGGATAATTTTCGGAATTTTATTTTCATTTTATACAATTATCTCACAGTTGCCTTCGAAGCAGAAACTAACAGATTATATCTTTAATTAGGGATGAATTGCGTGAGCATCTCAAAAATACACCAAAGGTCATTGTGGCACAGAAACCAGATGTTGAGCCAAATAAATCCTCCCCCTCCTCTTCCTCTTCCGCATCCTCCTCTTCAGAGTCTGACTCCTCCGCCTCTGATTCGGACAGCACTGACAGCAGTTCAGAGTCTTCCAGTGAAGAGAGCGATTCTTCATCCTGCAGTAGTCAGAGCTCTGCCTCAGGTATGGAAACTCATTTATAATTGATTGGGCTCTTCTCTAACAAGTACATTGTTGGTGATGTTTACAGCAAAGGAACAAAATAATTTGATTGCTTCATTATTATAGATTCAGTTGTTTAAAAGCCACGATTAATAATATAAATGATCATCTATCACTGCTGGAGTCTGTAGTGAATTGCATCATTTATAATGCTGAGATTACCTATTGGCATCCTCTTCATAGAAATGAAGATGTTTCATTGGCATATACTTATTTGAGTGATGACTGAAATACCATTCATTCATAATGCCTATAATCCAGTTTATAGCTTTCCTGGTGTTTATATTTTAAAGAAATTTTAGTTTTTACATTAGTGAGGGTTTATGTTATTGACATGCGCCATGCATGGTGCGTACTTCCTGAGTGTAAATGTTCATGAAGAGAACACATCCATGTGCTAGCTACCCATAACCGGAGTTACCAGCTGCTGCGGCTCCTCCCACTGCCCCAGGGCAGCTTCTGCTCTCATTTGTAATTCCGTAATTCATTGTGCCTGCTTTTAACTTTACACCTATGTTTTATGAACTCCTTTATGTCTGGCTTATCTTTCACAATTACTTTTGTGAGATTCATCTGTAATACTGCATTTAGTTATAGTTCATTCAGTCTTATTGCTGTGTAGTTTTCCACTATATGAATATGCTACAGTCTATTTAACATCCCTTTTACTCAGCAGCAATTTAGATTTATAAATAGTATTCCCGTGAATACTCTTATTCATACTTGGTAGATATACGTATATGTACATATGTTCATTTCAGTTGGGTGTGTACTTGGAGAATCACTGGGAATCACTGGGTTGTAGGTTGTTTGTGTATTTAGCTTTAGTAGATAACTGCCTGTTTTGCAAGTGGTTATTTCAGTTTATACCCCCATCAGCCATGTTTGAGAGTTCCAGTAGCTCCCATCCTCACAACACTTCAGTTGGCTGTCTTCTTCATTTTAACCATTCTGGTAGATGTGTAATGGTATTGCATTGTGGTTTTAATTTGTATTTTCTTAATCACTAATGAAGTTGAGCACTATTTTATATTCTTACTGGCCATTTGGGTATTTTCCTTTTGTTAAGTGGCTGTCCCAGTCTTTTGCTATCCCCCCCTTTTTTGTTTTATGAAGTTGTCTCTTCTATTAATTGGTAGGAGTTCTTTAGATTTTCTGGATATGTATCTTTTGTGACATGTGTGTATTGCAAATAGCTAGTTCAATTCCATTCTTGTCTCTCCAGGCCTGTGCAGCTGCCAGAGCTCTGTTGGTCTCTCTGTCCCTCAGCAGCAGCCCTGAATCAGCAGATGCTCACAGGGAGAAAGTGGCTGTAGAATGTCAGCTTACCTCTCTATGGTTCTGCCCTCCTTGAATCTTGGCCCTTATTCAACTTAAAGTTGCAGATAGTACAGAAAATTCCCATATAGCCTTCACCCGACTTCTCCTAATGTTAGCATTGTACTAACCAGAGTTCAATTTTCAAAGCCAGGAAATTAACATTGGAACAATACATTAAACAAATTCTTGAATTTGAATTGAATTTCACCAGATTTTCCATTAATGTCCTTTTTCCTATTCCAGGATCCTACTTGCATTGAACTGAGTTTCTTCTTAGTCCTCTGTATCCTGTGATAGTTCCTCTCAGGCTTTTCTTGGTTTTAATGGCTTTGATACTTTTGAAGTCCTCTGGTCACTTATTTTTTAGAATGTCCCTCAATACGGATATCTGTCTGATGTTTTTACATAATTAAAATGAGGTTATGCATTTTTGGACAGAATACCATAGAAATGTATTCTTAATGCATCTTATCTTGGAGTTCATAATATTGATATGTCTTATTGATGACATTAACTTTGATCACTCAGATAAGGTGATATCTGCTCGATTTCTTCATGGAAACTCCTTTTCTCTGTAAATTAATGTTTTGTAGGGAGATAATTTGATACTATGCAAATCTCCTCTTTCTCCTCTACCTTTCACCCTTTAATTTTAGCATCCATCTTTGGATCTTGTCTGCAGTACTTAACTACTGTCGTGTTTGCCGAATGTGGTTTTCCATTTGCTTTTTTTTTTCTGCATTTAGTAATTGAATTTCTTCTGCAGGAAGAAGTCCCTCTCTCCTCTCCACATTTATTTATTAACTGTATATTTTATCAGTGTGGACTCATGGATATTTATCTGAATTAGTTAAACTCCATTACTGTCATTTATTTTGTTGTTCAGGTTATTTCAGCTTTGGCAATTAAGAGCTCCTGCAAGTTGACCCCTCTGTTCTTTCATCATACCCCTATCCTTTTCTTTGAGCACTGCCTTTCTTTATAAAATCTCAAGTTGTTCAAGATCTTTAGTGCCTTTACGCAGAAGATTTTAAATTTTTATCTGGCATTTCTAGTAGTTTTCGGCAGGGGCACTGGTCTTCCACAGCTTTCTTCATCCTCCCTGGAAGTGGAAATACAGTAGTAAAGGATTTTTTCAAATGTGCCATTTTCTGAGAAGATCTGTGGTGTTTTCCTCAGGGTCAACTCTGTTTTCTTCCATCATAGTATCTTAGTCTGAATAAGAGATAGTCTAATTGTCCAAAACACATACCATTTCTTATTTTTTAATGCATATTTTAGTGGCAGGAAAAAGTAGTCTTTATACTCTTATTCTCTGGCTTGTTGCACTTAAAAGAGTATTAGATACTGTGTGGCAGCCAGAATTGTGGGACTCTCAGTATTTTATATTGTTAGAGCAAGATTGCATTTGCCCACAGGAAGTCTTATTCTTGAATTAAAATATATTAACATTGTTCATTTAATATTCACCTCTTTTAATTCTAAAGAATTTGTTATTTCATGGTATCTGTTTTGAGAACAGATGATAGCACAGCATGAATTGCTGCAATAAGGAATCTTGCCGATTCAGAATTAATTTGCCTCATCATACAATTTCAGTAGAAAGCTTTCAGTTTTATTAGTAAAATATTAAGTAGCATAAAAACAGTATGAACTGCCCCCAAATTAGAAAATTATAAAGCAAACACCAAAGAGTGGGGAGGTTGCATATTATGGTAGGGCTCAGGGTTTTGTGTCAGCAACACAAAAAAAAAAGAGTGGTGTAGAGTAGGGTCAGAGAGATGCTGATTTAGCACACAGCCAGATGGTTTCTGCTTGGGTAGCTGCAGCTCAGCTGAGAACCAGAGAAATAAATCCTTAGTGGCAAACCAATGGACTGTGCCAAGGGTAGGCATTTGGCAGAAGAAATACAGGTTGGTACAGTGAGATTTAGATGGAGAGAGGACGAAGGTAGGCAGTTTTCTACCATATTTTCTTCTTTCTGTATATGTATGAATTTGACAGAACTTTTGGTCATCTTAGCAACTTTGACTTATGTACCCAAAAGAAATAACACAGATATAAAGTGAATAAATTTGTTTTATAGCTTAAAATTTCACTGTGATTAAGATTTATATTTGTGATTATATCAGTGAGATTGAATTGTTCTAGGCCATTTCAGAAGAGTTTTCTCAGAAATCAAGCCTTCATAGCTCTCATAAAGCGTATGATTATATGTCTTAACAAGCTTCTCTTCCTGGTGCAGAAACTGCTTCTCTGATAGCACTGGTCAGCAGAACTATTGTTTTGTTTTGTTTTGTTTTTTTAAGATTTTTTTATTTATTCACTTGAGATACAGAGAGAGAGAGAGAGAGCATGAGCAGGGAGAGAGGGAGGGGGAGAGGGAGAAGCAGTCCCCCCGCTGAGCAAGGAGCCCGATGCGGGACTCGATCCCAGGACCCCGGGATCATGACCTGAGCTGAAGGCAGACACTTAACCATCTGAGCCACCCAGGTGCCCCAGAACTATTGTTTTTGTAGAAAGAGGTTTTTATTTGAAAAATGTATATTCATGCTGTTAAACAAACTCATGCACCCCACTCCCCCACCTTTAGGGAATGATGTTGCTGGCATGTGTGATCACTGTATTTTTTATAAGTGGAAATGTTAGTCACTTTATAAAAAACTTTACATTTGCTACAGTTTATTTAAAGTTCCTGTTTACTGCTTTGAGTCTAAAGATCAAAACAGTACTTTGGTAACTAATGGTGATATGATGTATATACTTAAAAATTACTCATTTTATAAAATATTCTGTCATCAGACTTTCCATTCAATCATTTAATTTTGTGTCCAGTTTGTCTGAATTAATAAACCTACGATGGATCAATAAATGTAATTGTTAAATTATGAAATTAAAGATTAAAATAAAAGCTAACTATTTCATTTTTCACCTGCAGCTACAAATAGAAGAAAGAAGGGACAAGGGAACACCAGAAGTAAAGAAGTAGATAAATTGATCAGGAAACAACAAACCCATGATAGGAAACAAGAAGAAAGAAGGCCAGAGCAAAGGCATCAAGAAACATGGACTGAAAGAGAAAGAAGGTCAGAAAAACATAAAGATAAAAATTCAAGGGATCCAAATTGGAGAAATCCCATAACAAAATACACTTCAGACAGAGGTGTTCCTTCTGAACGAAATAGTTACAGTAGAATCACGAATGACAGAGACCAAGAAGCACACGCAGATTTGGAAAATAAGCACAGTGACCCCAAAAAGAAGAGAGGAGAGAGCAGAAATTCTTTTTCTGAAAATGAGCACAGACACCGAAATAAGGACAGTGAAACTGTGATAAGAAAAGATAGATCAAGGTCAAGAGAGAAGAACCGAAAACGTTCAGGTTCCAGAAGCGATGAAGACAGGTATCAGAATGGTGCCGAAAGGCGATGGGGAAAATCTAGCAGATACTCCAAACAATCCAGAGAACCAGAGAAACATCAGGACTGGCGAAGAGAAAAGTCTCCAACAAAGCAAAAAAAATGATGCTACAAAATGCCAGAAACTGAACATGCCTTATATTCAGTTGAAACAAATTATTTTTTACATTAACGAACTTTATAGAGAATTCTTGTATAAAGTAATGGTTTGTATTTGTACATTTAAAAATTTTTTCATTTTAACATGTTTTATAATTGATACATCTCAAGGCCCTCCACATAAAATTATTTGAAAAGTTTCACCAGAGAGGGATGTAATTCTTGCTTATATTTTGTTAATAAAATGATCAAATGCTCATTGAATCAGTGATTTTTTTCATTGACAAAATTTTTTTTCCTGATAATGTTTCCAACTGTTTATAGAACTATTATAATGAATTATTAGTGGCTTTTTTTTTTAATAACTAGAGACCAAAATAGAACCATTGCAATGTAATATTTTTGCTTTGTTAATGAGATGCTATGAAACTTTTTTAGGAGTCACCCTTTTTATAAAATAAGAATTATTTCCAGTTTCATATAACATCTTGAACAAAATAGGTATGTGTAAGTTTTTTAACGAGTGTTTTGGTGAAGCTAAGATTATGTTAGTCTTTTAAACAGATACATAGCTATATTATTTAGAATTAGGACTTCTCTCATCAATAACATTTCTTCTCTCTGGACTGCTAGATTAACGTTTAATTGAAATTCTTTGTGATTAGTGCTTTTTCTCAGCCTTGAAGTTATATCATTGTTGGTAAGTTAATGTGTGTTTAACTTTTAATTTAGATTAATAGGTCATTGGAAAACATACAGTCGTGAGAAATGTGAACAGCCTGTGAAATAATTCCAATTTTTATAAGAATTTTAAAGGTTTCCATCACTGTATCTCTTACCAATTAATATGTGACCATATTATTTATTACTTTTGAAATAAAATATTGCCTCTGAAATTTTAGATTTGCTGACATTTAACCCTACTTACCAAATAGACTGCTTGTGCTTACTCACTTTTAAAGTACTTAAAGTCCATTTTAGCTGATGTCTGGTTTCAAGAATAATGGGACCACCATCTTTAATGTTTGACTTTCAGACATTTTCTGATTCAGAATGTTTTCTATTTTTGTTCAAAAACTTGAATATAAATAACAATAAAGTCCATATAAATAAATAAATATCCTCTCCTCCTATCCTCCTGCCCCTGCAAAAAAAACAACAAAAAAGTAATATGGCAGCCTGGAAAAATTCTTTTTAGTGTTGTCTCCTACTGTGGTGGTTAGAAGGTGCTGAGTTCTCATTAGAAGGTATATCATGCATGCAGTGCATTTCACAAAACTATGAAGCTCAGCAAATTGGATTTAAGGAACACATAGGCTATAAGCCCTAAAGGAAAGTAGTTTATTTTTGTAACTGAACACTGATCTTTGGGGATGGTAAAAAGGACAAAAACTGGACTAGAAATTTTAACTTATTTTCTTCACTTTAAGTTTATAATTTCTTTTCTAAATGTAGAAATGGGAAATCATTCAATTTACTGAGTCGTTCAGACCTTACAGAGAGTTGTTCAAGTAGATAATTTTTTAAATGTAACAAATATTTATTGAGCTTCTATTATATGCACAGACCTGTTCTAGGAACTAGAAATAAACCATGAAGAAAACAGAACTCTTACAGGGCTGATATTATGGTAGGGAGATATGGTGGTCATGATATGGGTGGGGTGGTTGGTAATTTTCCATAGGAAGGTCAGAGATCTCTGATAAGGCGATGTTTGCCCAGATTGTTGAAGGAAATAAGGGCTTCAACCCTGTGGACTGCTGTGGGGGGAACCCAGGCAAAAGGAATTGCTGAGGCATAGATGTTTATTTATAACAAATATTGCCTGGAAATTTATGTTAACATTTCCTATTCAACTAGTTGGATTTGTTTTTCTCCTCACTATTTTATTTACTTTTAACAAAAGCAGTTAACACCTAACTCCTTCAAACAGAAAAGTATTTTAACTGAATCATACAAGGGCACAGTGAATGGGGGCCTGGGGCAGAACTGGACTGTGGGCCTTCATGGTACATTTCTAGTGCATCAGATGTGATATGCTCACATCCCCCGCCCTGCCATTCAGGCAGGTTTTTCACATTCATCCTTTTAAAATGCAGACAAGAAACATGTTGACTGTGTCTGCTATTTCTGACTTTTTACTTCTTAGGATTAGCATTTTTTTGAGGATCAGCTGAGTCCTGTATATTTTGCATGCCATTACTTACTGTTTTTCAGTTTCTCAACTTCTTGCATCCAAGGTTTCTCTATCCCTACTACATCCCTAACCACCTGCACCCATGTCATCCCCTTTATGTTGACTTAAGAATCCACACCATCTCTGAAATCTCTTCTTCCAGCATCACACTTTGAGCACTGCCCATCCCACTCACATGCTCTAGTAATGCTAGTCTAGGAATCCTTTCATCAAAACTTAAGATGTACCGACTTTGTTAAAATTTATCATCGCGCCCCCCCCCCCATTCTTTCACTTGCTTTTAGGAAGAGACTCGGGTTCATATTGGGTAAGTTATTACCATTTCATTTGAAAACTATTTGGCTAACTGCACATTTAAGTCTGACTAGGTTTTTATCTGACGTATACCACTTGCTGGCTGTTGACTTTGGGCAGGCCCTTTACTCAGTGTATCCATTTGTGTCCATTTTCTCCTATGAACAGTGGGAGACTGGTAACTCCCTTAAATAGTGAATGGCCTCTGGCATGAACAGGGCCTGGAGCTAAGTGCTCAGTGTGACTGTTTTTATTATTTTTGTCACTAAAGGCTGACATAGTACCACTAGAGCAGGAGTTGTAAACTCGAATACGGGGAAGACACAAATGAGACAAATGGGATTGGGGGGTGAGCTGGAATGACGTAAGGGCAGCAGAAGCTACTCAGCTCCATCCAGTTATGCCTATAAAAAAGAAGGCCAAAGACTGACAAATCTGCCTGATTCTCAAGAGAATTCAAGAATTAGGATTTTTTCCCTTCTTTTTTTTTCTTAACATATATTACATTATTTGTTTCAGAGGTACAGATCTGTGATTCAACAGTCTTGCACAATTCACAGTGCTCACCATAGCACATACCCTCCCCAATGTCTATCACCCAGCCACCCCATCCCTCCCACCCCCACCACTCCAGCAACCCTCAGTTTATTTCCTGAGATTAAGAAATCAGAGGGGGAGACCAACCATGAGAGACAATGGACTCTGAAAAACAAACTGAGGGTTCTAGAGGGGAGGGGGGTGGGAGGATGGGTTAGCCTGGTGATGGGTATTAAAGAGGGCACCCTCTGCATGGAGCACTGGGTGTTACGCACAAACAATGAATCGTGGAACACTACATCAAAAACTAATGATGTATGGTGATTAACATAATAAATTTTTTAAAAAAAGAATTAGGATTTTTATATAGCTCCTGATTTTTAAATGTTGATGATTTTTTTCTAGTTATTAAAAGTCCAAACAAAATGATCCCTTCAGGTGAATTAGCTTTTGAATAGCTAGTTTGTGATTCCACTCTAGATCCTCATAAGCTATTTATTATTTAATCTTGAAATGACAGTTTGTTATCCAAACCTCATCACAGTTTTATTTTCTGCTCTTCATTATAGTGGGAGGATAGTCCTATCATCTTTCTTAAGAAAACTCATTTACTGGGGCGCCTGGGTGGCTCAGTCGTTAAGCGTCTGCCTTCGGCTCAGGTCATGATCTCAGGATCCTGGGATCGAGCCCTACATCGGGCTCCCTGCTCAGTGGGGAGCCCGCTTCTCCCTCTCCCACTCCCCCTGCTTGTGTTTCCTCTCTTGCTGTGTCTCTCTCTGTCAAATAAATAAATAAAATCTTAAAAAAAAAAAAAAACTCATTTACTTTGCTAACTTCAGCAGTCCCTTCTTGCTCTAAAACCGTTGCCAAATGTTAGTTCTTCGCTTCTTTGGCCTGCTCCTTATAATCTCATATATCCAAAATACAATTCATTTTTCCTCAGATCCACATCCTTTCTAACTTAACTGCAATTGATTCCACTAATCTCCCATCATTTTTGGGTTCCCCTTTCCCCAAATCACCAAACTTCTGCAGTATCTTTTTTAAAGATTTTTTTTTTTTAGAGAGAGGGAGGGAAGGGCAGAGGCAGAGGGAGAGGATCTTCAAGCAGACTCCCTGCTGAGTGCGGAGCCCATTGTGGGCGGGCTCTCAGGACCCATGAGATCATGACTTGAGCCAAAACCAAGAGTCTGACACTTAACCTACTGAGCCATCCAGCACCCCTGGACTTCGACAGTAGTCAGTGCACATCCTCCTGTGTGCCAAGTACTGCTCCAAGGAGAGAGGAAAAGCAAACAGGCCCTGTCTTCAACTGAACCTAAATGCTTGCAAAGGAAAACAAAGTTTAAAAAATAAAAACTTACACTTTGAAAAATGTTAGCTAATCAGAAAAACCAAAAAAATAGTGCAGTGACCACCTATAAACTATCTACCTCGATTCTGATTTCAGCAATCTAAAACCTTATTTCCATCCTGTCACCTTCTTCTGCATGGACGTTCAATGAGTCCTCTAGCCTATAGGATAAATGTAAATTCCCAGCCTGTTACTCTAGTTTCTTTGAAGTTCAAGTTCAACCTGTCCTAATGATTGTTCTAGGAGCTGCCAGCCTTTGAGCAGTACTACATTTTAGAATGTTTAGCAGCATCCCTGACCTTAGCTACTAGATACTAGCTGCTAGATACAATTTTGCCTAGCTGACTACCATAACCATAGACTTAGCACTTAGGAAATACTCTTTAGTGGATGTCAATGTAGTGCTTGTTCTGGAAGCATCACTGTGCCCATTCATAGAAAGCTATGTCTATTATACTGCCCTCTTTTTGCAAGGGGAAGATTTGTTTTAAATGACTATTTAATACTCAATAGAGTAATGGACAGCAATATTCCAGTTTTTGTTCAGCAAAATTGTCTGATATTCTAGGGAAGACATTCTGGTTGACATTTTAAGAGGTAAGTTTTCTGCAAATAGAAGCATGATTATTAACCTGTTAATAGGATTGTCTCATATAGGTTCTGGCTTCTCACTGTAGCTGTTTATTATAACCAACACACTTCAGGATGGCAAATAACGAGCTGTGACTATTGTATTATTTTTTAAAAGATTTTATTTATTTATCTGACAGAAAGATACACAGCAAGAGAGGGAACACAAGCAGGGGGAGTGGGAGAGGGAGAAGCAGGTTTCCTGCCAAGCAGGGAGCCCAGTGTGGGACTCGATCCCAGGACCC